AGTGGATAGAGTTCGCGTGGCCAAGCGAGGTGTCAATGCTGGCACAGTGGCGCCACGCTGTCCGTTACAGCGTTACAAAATTTAGTCGTTGAACGTGGGCTTTTGACCACCTCGGCCTGGAAATTTGTGTTTGGAGTCTGCTTGGTACACCGTGGCGCTCAGAGAATCCTCCACGTCGGCAAAATGACCAGAAGGTTGCGGCGCGAAGTCAAGGTGCGTGGAATAACCATGCCACGTCTCAGTCTCATGGTGGCGTCGGAACACCTTCAGCAGGAAGAGGTGCGGCAAAATGATTCGCGATGTTCATTGAGCCATGATAAGGCTTTCGTCAATACGGGTATTGGTTGCAACATGAAAATTGTAACAGAGCACAATCCAGTTCATCACTTTGCAAACAAGAGTGGGAATAACAACCAAATCCATCTTGTTATGAACACAGAAAAATATGTCAGCTCGGTAATTCCTTTCATATCATCATCCTCTGAGTGGAGTTCTTGCGCTGCCCCCCCTATCAGCTCCTCCAGCTCCCCACCCTCCCGAACCACCACCACCACTCCCAGCTCCCCATCCCCCTCCTCCCCCTCCTTCACTGCCCCAACCACCTGCATTCTGCCAACCACTCCCACCCCCGTCCCCAGACTGCCACACTTGCCCCCCGCCCTGCTCCCCTCCACCTGCACTCCACGCCCCTCCCCCCCATCCAACCTTCTCCCCTCCTCCCGCAGCCCCCCAACCACCCGACCCAGCCTGATCCCACCGACCACCCCTTCCCCCTGCCGGCGCCGGGGGCGGCGGAGGCAATGCCAGCCCACCACCACCACCCCCACCTCCAGAAGCTCCTCGGTGCGGAGTCTCCCTTTTCCCACCACCCCCTCCCGCACCCCCATCGCCACCCTCCACGGGGTCATTAAAATGCGCCTGAAAGTACTTCACCAGTCGGTCCGGCGACGGGAAAGTGTGCTTCCGGAACCGGAACCCCTCAGGCGAAACGGTGATATACTCGTGCACGGGTCGGCCTGAGACAGAAGCGGAGCGGATGTAGGTGAGCATGAAGGCACCGGGGTGGTCGTGCGAGAGCGAGAGGTAGTAGGGGATGCGCGCGGGCTCGCGCTCCTTGTCGGAGCGGACTAGAGCGTCCATGTCGGCTTTGGATCCGAGGCGGAACTTGCGGTATGCTGCCATGTCCCGCATGCGCGCTGCCAAGGGCTCGATGTACCGCGCCATCACCTGGTAGGGATGGGTGGAGAGGGGTTGAAATGCAACTTTTGAAGGGCATCTCAAGAGTCGGAGCTCAATGTCCTGCGCCAGTAGAGTGGGGGGGTGGGAGAGCGAGAGGTAGTAGGGGATGCGCGCGGGCTCGCGCTCCTTGTCGGAGCGGACTAGGGCGTCCATGTCGGCTTTGGATCTGAGGCGGAACTTGCGGTAGGCTGCCATTTCCCGCATGCGTGCTGCTAGAGGCTCGATGTAGCGCGCCATCACCTGGTGGAAGTGGGTGGAGAGGGGTTGAAAGCATTCAAGAGTAGGTGTTCGTTGTACTGGGCCATGACTTGGAAGGGAGGGTGTGGAGAGAGAGAGGTGGTCAGGCAGTAGGGGAAAAGATGCTGTTATTAGTAAACAGGTGGGCTGCGATTTTGAGAATTCTCAAAAACCAGATGTTGTTATTAGTAAACAGGTGGGCTGCGGAGGTCTGATGTCCAAGCCTGAAGTGATGAGAACATGGGTAAGCGCAAAGATAGGAGACGCATGACACAGGGTGCAGCTGAGGAGCGGCTGAAGCAAAAATGTCATTTTACCCCTCCACCCCTGGGCCCCGCCTCACCTCGTCCAGATCCCCATACGACTCGTCCACAATGGTGATAGGAACACCACACACACGCACTCATCCAACCATTCCACCTGCCTCACAGCCTCCACTGCGCCCCATCTCTCACATCACCCAAATGCTACAAGCACTCACCTCGTCCAGATCCTCGTAGCTCTCGTCCCCGATGGTGAGGGTGCGGCCGAGGCGCAGGAAGCTGGTGGCGGAGGTGCGGTCCTTGCCGCCCTCGTGCACGTCCACGTGCACGAACGCCCCATCCGGCAGCTTCATGGTGATGCTGAGGTGCGTGGGGCCGCGGCTGCTGGGCCGAATCACCACACTGCCTATATCTTTGTCTGCCAGGAGCTGTGTTGACAGGTGTGGAATGGATAAAAGAGGGGAAGAACGGGTACATCAAGGCCCCGTCCGGTAGCTTCATGGTGATGCTCAGATGCGTGGGGCCGCGGCTGCTGGGACGAATCACCACACTGCCTATATCTTTGTCGGCCAGGAGCTGTGTTGACAGGTGTGGAATGGATAAAAGAGGGGAAGAACGGTACATCAAGGCCCCGTCCGGCAGCTTCATGGTGATGCTCAGATGCGTGGGGCCGCGGCTGCTGGGACGAATCACCACACTGCCTATATCTTTGTCTGCCAGGAGCTGTGTTGACAGGTGTGGAATGGATAAAAGAGGGGAAGAACGGGTACATCAAGGCCCCGTCCGGCAGCTTCATGGTGATGCTCAGATGCGTGGGGCCGCGGCTGCTGGGCCGAATCACCACACTGCCTATATCTTTGTCTGCCAGGAGCTGTGTTGACAGGTGTGGAATGGATAAAAGAGGGGAAGAACGGGTACATCAAGGCCCCGTCCGGCAGCTTCATGGTGATGCTCAGATGCGTGGGGCCGCGGCTGCTGGGCCGAATCACCACACTGCCTATATCTTTGTCTGCCAGGAGCTGTGTTGACAGGTGTGGAATGGATAAAAGAGGGGACGAACGGGTACATCAAGGCCCCGTCCGGCAGCTTCATGGTGATGCTCAGATGCGTGGGGCCGCGGCTGCTGGGACGAATCACCACACTGCCTATATCTTTGTCGGCCAGGAGCTGTGTTGACAGGTGTGGAATGGATAAAAGAGGGGAAGAACGGGTACATCAAGGCCCCGTCCGGCAGCTTCATGGTGATGCTCAGATGCGTGGGGCCGCGGCTGCTGGGCCGAATCACCACACTGCCTATATCTTTGTCTGCCAGGAGCTGTGTTGACAGGTGTGGAATGGATAAAAGAGGGGAAGAACGGGTACATCAAGGCCCCGTCCGGCAGCTTCATGGTGATGCTCAGATGCGTGGGGCCGCGGCTGCTGGGCCGAATCACCACACTGCCTATATCTTTGTCTGCCAGGAGCTGTGTTGACAGGTGTGGAATGGATAAAAGAGGGGAAGAACGGGTACATCAAGGCCCCGTCCGGCAGCTTCATGGTGATGCTCAGATGCGTGGGGCCGCAGCTGCTGGGCCGAATCACCACACTGCCTATATCTTTGTCTGCCAGGAGCTGTGTTGACAGGTGTGGAATGGATAAAAGAGGGGAAGAACGGGTACATCAAGGCCCCGTCCGGCAGCTTCATGGTGATGCTCAGATGCGTGGGGCCGCGGCTGCTGGGCCGAATCACCACACTGCCTATATCTTTGTCTGCCAGGAGCTGTGTTGACAGGTGTGGAATGGATAAAAGAGGGGAAGAACGGGTACATCAAGGCCCCGTCCGGTAGCTTCATGGTGATGCTCAGATGCGTGGGGCCGCGGCTGCTGGGACGAATCACCACGCTGTCCACGTCCTTGTCCGCTAGGAGCTGCATTGGTGTCTTAACAGGTGTGGAATGGATAAACGTGGGGAAGAACGGGTACATCAAGGCCCCGTCCGGCAGCTTCACGGTGATGGTTTGTACTTCGAATGTTCTGCTTTCTTCTTCAAGTGAACTCAGACTAGCAAGCAGGCATGGATGCAGCATGCAGGCACATGTTCTGAGCGCAATCCTTTCTCAGTTGAGAGCATGCCTGCACATGCACCCTTTCTCAGTTAAGAGCCTGCCTGCACATGCACCCTTTCTCAGTTAAGAGCATGCCTGCACATGCACCCTTTCTCAGTTGAGAGCATGCCTGCACATGCACCCTTTCTCAGTTGAGAGCATGCCTGCACATGCACCCTTTCTCAGTTGAGAGCATGCCTGCACATGCACCCTTTCTCAGTTGAGAGCATGCCTGCACATGCACCCTTTCTCAGTTGAGAGCATGCCTGCACATGCACCCTTTCTCAGTTGAGAGCATGCCTGCACATGCACCCTTTCTCAGTTGAGAGCATGCCTGCACATGCACCCTTTCTCAGTTGAGAGCATGCCTGCACATGCACCCTTTCTCAGTTGAGAGCATGCCTGCACATGCACCCTTTCTCAGTTGAGAGCATGCCTGCACATGCACCCTTTCTCAGTTGAGAGCATGCCTGCACATGCACCCTTTCTCAGTTGAGAGCATGCCTGCACATGCACCCTTTCTCAGTTGAGAGCATGCCTGCACATGCACCCTTTCTCAGTTGAGAGCATGCCTGCACATGCACCCTTTCTCAGTTGAGAGCATGCCTGCACATGCACCCTTTCTCAGTTGAGAGCAAAGGCCAGTGCAGCTACTTGGCGCCGTCAAGAGACACGTTGTGGAAGAGCGGGTAGGTGATCATGCGTGGGCGGAACGCAGCCGTCCTCTTAAGTTAAGACGTCCCCAAAGACTTCAGAACTTGAGTAGAAATGTTCAAAACCACCAGCGCACCTTCTTAGCGCCGTCCAGGGACAAATTGTGGAGAAGCGGGTACGTGATCACGCGGGGGCGAAAGGCACCCTGCGATTAAGACACCTTCAAAGTCTTGGAACTCTTGAACCGTCTGAAAAGACCTGCTCACCTTCTTAGCGCCCTCGAGAGAGACGTTGTGGAAGAGCGGGTAGGTGATCATGCGGGGGCGGAAGGCGGTTTTGCGTTTCTCCTTCTCCTTGCGCTTCCTCTCCTCCGTTGCTGCCTGCTCCTCCTGCTCCACGGCAGCGCGCTGGTAGTACGGGTCCCACTCACCTTCTTAGCTCCCTCCATTGACACGTTGTGGAAGAGCGGGTAGGTGATCATGCATGCATGCCAGTGGAGTGCATTCATTCATCCACAGCGCACCTTCTTAGCGCCTTCAAGAGACACGTTGTGGAAGAGCGGGTAGGTGATCATGCGGGGGCGGAAGGCGGTCTTGCGCTTCTCCTCCTCCTTGCGCTTCCTCTCCTCCGTCGCTGCCTGCTCCTCCTGCTCCACTGCAGCGCGCTGGTAGTACGGGTCCCACTGCCGCATCTCCCTCCACTCGCTGCTCCTCAGATCGCTGCCCTTGCACGTCAGGATCACCTGCATGTGTGGATGAGAGGTGGGGGGTGTGAGGTGGAAGGTGTTATGAGACCTCTCAAAACTCCCAGCTCTTCAAGTCGTCCTGCTTGCACATGAAGGGGGTAGGGGGATCACCTCCCCATGTGATGGGGGGTGGGAGAAGGGAAGTGGAACGTGGAAAGTGGAGGATGGGAGATGATGGTACATGTGAATGATGGGAGATGATGGTACATGTGAATGATGGGAGATGATGGTACATGTGAATGATGGGAGACGATGGTACATGTGAATGATGGGAGACGATGGTACATGTGAATGATGGGAGACGATGGTACATGTGAATGATGGGAGATGATGGTACATGTGAATGATGGGAGACGATGGTACATGTGAATGATGGGAGATGATGGTACATGTGAATGATGGGAGATGATGGTACATGTGAATGATGGGAGACGATGGTACATGTGAATGATGGGAGACGATGGTACATGTGAATGATGGGAGACGATGGTACATGTGAATGATGGGAGATGATGGTACATGTGAATGATGGGAGACGATGGTACATGTGAATGATGGGAGATGATGGTACATGTGAATGATGGGAGATGATGGTACATGTGAATGATGGGAGACGATGGTACATGTGAATGATGGGAGACGATGGTACATGTGAATGATGGGAGACGATGGTACATGTGAATGATGGGAGACGATGGTACATGTGAATGATGGGAGACGATGGTACATGTGAATGATGGGAGACGATGGTACATGTGAATGATGGGTGTGATGCGGGAGACAGGCAGAGTGGAACGGAATGGGGTGTGGGAAGAATGCAAAGCGAGGCTGGGGGAAAGCAACTGAAATGAGGCAAGTGGAAGAGAAAACCAAGCAGTGACGAGGCAGACTAGCTCTCTTCAGAGGCTAATGACAGCATTCGTGCAAACTCCCAAGCCCACACGCACCTACCCTCTCCACACACACCTTGCACTCTTCCTTCTCCCCATACACACACAATACCCCCCTTTCTACTCCCCACACACACATCTCTTCCTCCCCCCCCCCTCCCAGCACGGACCTTGCCCTCCTAAGTCTACCCCACACGCACCTTAGCCTCTTCCGTCTTCACTTCCTTAATACGACATGTGAGCGGCTGCCCTTCAGTCACCACATCCCGCAGCTCCACATTCGGGTCATCACTAAAGTCCCTCCGGTCCACTTCCCCCAGCACACCGCTCTCCAACGCACACAACACCTTGAACTTCAGCACTCGCTTCACCGTCGCAGTCACCACCTTCCCCACCGCAAGACTCTCCTCCGTCTCCCCACTGAGCAGCCAGAACTGCTCATCAGCATTCAGCTGCTCAAACTTCACGCGGCACTCGGCAAACCCGTGCATCAGCTCGCGACGAATCAGCAGCAGCTTCTCCTTCAGCCCGCCCTGCCCCTTCCGAGCCAGCATCACCGCGTAGTCCTCGAAATCGAGCCTGCGGATCAGGTCCGGGTTGTCCCGAGCCTCGAGAACCACATCAATGCCGCGTTCCTCCACGCTGTGTGGAGTCATGCCGCGGTGTGCCTCACAGTACCCATCAGTGGCCACCTTGAGCGCCAGGCGGTAGTCTGCTGGGTGGATCCGTGAATCGTCTAGCATGTCATCTTGCCCTCGGACCCGAATGAACGCTGCTGCATTGATGAAGACGACCTGTGGAAGAGAGGGAGGCAACAGGAGTTCAAGGATGGATGAATCAAGTCATGCCGCGGTGTGCCTCGCAGTACCCATCAGTGGCCACCTTGAGCGCCAGGCGGTAGTCTGCTGGGTGGATTCTAGAATCGTCTAGCATGTCATCCTGGCCTCGGACTCGGATGAATGCTGCCGCGTTTATGAACACCACCTGGTGGAAGAGAGGGAAGAAACAGGAGTACAAGGATAAATGAATCAAGTCATGCCACGGTGTGCCTCGCAGTACCCGTCTGTAGCCACTTTGAGCGCCAGGCGGTAGTCTGCTGGGTGAATTCGTGAATCGTCCAACATGTCATCCTGGCCTCGAACACGGATGAACGCTGCTGCATTGATGAAGACCACCTGGTGGGGAGAGGGAGACAACAGGAGTCTACAGGATGAACGGGGGAATCAGGCAGCATGTCGTCTTGCCCTCTCACTCGAATAATCGCAGCAGACCACCTGCGGGACGGACAGGTGGGGATACGTAACAAGTGGGCAGAGGGGGACAAGCATGCCAAGGACAGAGGTGGGGGACGAGAGAGGAGAGAAGGCAGCTGAGGGCCGGAGCAGCAAGGCAAGGGCGGAGCACTTTAAAGAATACCAAACGGCAAGGCCACGGCGGGTACGAACCTGGTCGAGCAGGAAGGGCGGGTCGATGAGATCCTTGCGCCTCCGCACCACACCCTCTCCCAGTATGCGCACCTGATGGGGGAGGGGGGAGTGGGGCGAGGGGTGAGAAGGAGAGAACAGGGAGAGAGGCGAGCAGGAGAGATGCGAGGGGGAAAATAGAAGAGTTTAGGGCCCGATTCGATGGCGGTGGCGAGGAGGGTGGTGAGGGGCGAGCGGAGGGTGGTGACGGTGTGGGAGCGAGGCACGGGGGATATCGATGGTGGGAGATCAAAGAAAGGAGCATGCGAGACAAAGGGGGAAAAGAGAGAGGAGGAGAAGAAAGGTGGGAGAGGGAGCAGGTGTGGCGAGGAAAGCGAGTGGGCAGGTGTGGTCAATGAGGGCAAAAAACGCATCGGACACGGATGAGGTTGGGAGGGCAAGCAGGCTCATGACTCACTTTAAGCGTGGAGGCCTTTCTGGGTCCGAGGCCGCACACGAACTGCAGGGCCGCAAAGAGCCAGTCCTGCGACTCCTGTGCTGCGTAGTTCACATCCACTCCCACCTGAGCGGGGCGAGTGGAAAGAGCAGGTGCGGGAGAAGAGGCGAGGCGATGAATGAATGGCAGTTTTGAGCCGATTCAGGAGTTGCCTCTTGTGCCGCGTAGTTCACGCCCACTCCCACCTGGCAGCGGGGCGAGTGGGGGAACAGAAACAGGGCAATGAGCGGGATGGGATGGCTTCTGTGTTGACTCAGCAACGGCCTGCCGTGCTGCGTAGTTCACAACCACTCCACTCTCACTTAATTCTGACTCGTCCTTACCACCACCCGTGTGAGGTGGCTCGGCAGAGTCACCAGCGTTCAAGCGCGCTGTACACGTCATCGGGCGTGTCTTGAGACGTCCCCATGATTGGCAATCCTACCTTGTTGGTGACCCCACCTACCCAGCAACCGCTAAATGACCCTACCCACCTGGTTGGTAACGGTAACCATGACGCGTTCGAGCGCGTCGTACACGTCATCGAGCGGCAGCAGGTCCTGAGAGCTCCCTGGCCCGATGATCACGCTAGGTAATTCTGACTGGTAACCCTACCCACATACATTACCTGGTTGGTAACAGTAACCATGACGCGTTCGAGGGCGCCGTACACGTCATCGGGTGGGCGGCAGCAGGTCCTGAGAGCTACCTGGCTTGATGACCATGCTTGGTAATCCTGGTTGGTAACCCTACCCACCTGGTTGGTAACCCTACCCACCTGGTTGGTGACAGTGACCATGACGCGTTCAAGCGCGTCGTACACGTCATCGGGCGGCAGCAGGTCCTGAGAGCGGTGGAACTTGGCAGATAGCACCTCCCTCGCCGGCCCAAACAGACACGCTGCCAGCGCCAGCCGGTTCTGCATGTAACGGCCGAGTCCCACCGTGCGCCGCACTATGCCTGACAAGGGGGTAGAGCGAGAGAGTGGGGGGTGGAAGAGGGAGAGATGGTTCGGGAAGGATGTACGGTGGAACTTGGCAGATAGCACCTCCCTCGCCGGCCCAAACAGACATGCCGCCAGTGGCAGCCGGTTCTGCATGTAGCGCCCCAGACCGACTGTGCGCCGCACTATGCCTGATGAGGTGGATAGGGGTGGGGACGAGGAGACGCACGGGGATGGGTATGGGGGTTCTGCATGTAGCGGTCCAGCCCCACCGTGCGCCGCACTATGCCTGATGAGGGGCGAGAGAGTGGGTGGAAGTGGGAAGTGAGGGCGTGTTCCTTCCCTGCATCTGTGCATATGCATCTGTGCCTGGTGGGAAGTGGTCAGAGATGAGCATTTGCCCCGCGCGGGTCGGGCCGGCCCGACCCGACCCGTGGTTTAGCCCGGGTCGGGTCAGTAGTTTCAATAGCCTGCCCTGTGAGGGCCGACCCGACCCGACCCGGGCTAAAACCCGACCCGAGCATGGGACTCGGGCCGAGTCGGGTCGGGTCTCGGGTCAGCTTTGACCCGACCCGATTTCGGGTCAGAATTTGGGAAATCGGGTCGGGTCAGATCTCGACACAGGGGGGGACCCGAAACCCTAACACATTTTATGTCAAGGGTATTTGTTTCCCCGTACACATCATTTCATTACCGCACACCTAATATCCTTCCTCAAGCGACCAACGTCGTCTAGGAACCATAACTACTTAGTTTGCAGCCAAAGAATGATGCTGCTAAGTTAAAGTCGACTTTGTGGAGAGGCTCAATGTCGAGGGATCTGTAAAGAGGGGGGGGGGGGGGGGTGGTTGGGAATGGTAGATTTAGTGCGGTAAGGAGTGGTGAGCAGTGGCGAATTGGTTGGAATTATTTGTTCCAACACATTCGTCAGAAACGAGTGCCACGGCGAAACTCCCAATCTCCACTTAGTGGAGGGGTGGGCTGGAAGGGGCTTGCTTGCCTCCCACCCTTTCTCACACCACTCCACCTAACTCCTTCATCCTCGCCTAATCCCCTTCCTTCCAGGGCTCTCTCAACTCAGACGCTTCTCCAGGGTTAGCAAAAGAGAATTCTCACAAGTGTTACTGCGCGACATGTGCCTGAGCCTGAGGTTTCATAGGGGTACAAGCACTTGCCTGGCTGCGAAGTACTTACCTGGCTGGGAGGGCAGGTGCTCCTGGGAGATAGCAGAATTCTCGTAGAGCAGAGCGAGTGTCTCGTCTTGAAACACCACCTGGTGCATGGGCCGGGCAGGAGGAAGACAGGAGAGCAGGAGGACAGGAAACATGGAGGAGGCTGTGAGCTTGCACGCACAGGTGCAGTGCAGGGCAGCCGGTTAATGAGGGAAGTGAGGTGTGGTAGGCCACGGGACGTGGGAGGGTGAGAGATGAAATGAAGGTGAGGTGGGAGGGTGACGTGTCGAGGCAGGCAGTGGCCAGTGGTCACGACTTGGCCGACAGAGGAGAGAAAAGGGAGGAGGCAGGTGCTGCTGTGAACTGACAGTTTCCAAAAGTTGTAAAACTATTCAGCCACTTCAACAGCCACGAGCACATACAACACACCACAGCAGCAAGGAGGCACTCACGCGGACGTTGTCAACATCGGAGGTGAGGTCGCGAGGGAAGTGCTCGACGATCTTGAATATCACCTGGTGGGGGGAGGAGGAGTGGGGGAAGAGAGGAGGCATACAAGTGAGCGAGCCGTGAGAGGCAGGGCTGATGTTGTGGGGGGAAAGTGCTCGATGATCTTGAAGATCACCTGGTGGGGGACGAGGAGGGGGAAAAGGAGGGATGCGATGGGAGGACGCATGGAGCTGAATGTGTGAGCCAACTGGCAACGCCAAGGGAAGGGTTGAGGGAGAAGCAAGCGGCGCAGGAGGGCCAGAAGCCCAACAGAATCAGCACATGGTAAGCGCATGTATTGAGAGAATGGATTGAGAGCAGCAAGCTTATTGTCTGTCTGTCCTGATCGTTGCATTGCATCCACACGCGCACGTACCCCACGCACGCCCCAGCCCCCAGCCCAGCCCAGCAACCCATGCACCTCCTATCCGCGCATGTCCCATTCGCCCCATGCCCCACCCCACGCACCTCCCAGATCTCATCCTTGAGCCTCTCACACGCGAGGTTAGCCCCGCCCACCACCACGACATGCGGCTTGTGCTCCTTCACAAACGCCATCAGCCGCCGCTCATCCTCCCGCTTCTTCATCACCATCACCTGCTGCTCGCCCCCTCCCCCTCCCCCTCCCCCCGCTCCCCCCGCTCCCCCCATCCCCCCAGCAGCTCCCCCCAGCGCTGCAGCATCCCCCTTAGGCTGGCCGGTGCGGGCACAGAGAAAGCCAGTATGGAGAAAATCCACCATCTCCCCCGCGGCGTTCAGCATGGCAAAGGTGGTCGCGGGGTTCCCCGGCCCCCAGCAGCACGCCATCACCCGCAGCCACGGCTGGCCCCCTCCCCCGTGCTCCTCCCCTCCCCCATGCCTCCCGCCCCTCCCCCCACCGCCCCGCATACCCCCTCCACCGCCTCCGCCCATCCCGCCCCCTCCACCACCCCCGGCGCCCTTGGCCCGAATGTCAAAGGGGGCGACGGAGACGTGTTTCCAGAGGGCGAGGGCGCACTGTTCCGCGACAAATGCCTTGGCGCGGCCGGTGAGGAGCAGGCGCGTCTCCTTGTGCATGGTCGGCAGCAGCCGGGCGGCGATTGCTGCTCGGAGAATGGTGCGGCGCTGCTCGTTCCACAGCGAGGCCAAGTGCGAGACGCCGTCCGAGAGGTAGGCCGCTTCAAACTCCTGAGGGAACGGAGGAGAGTCGGGGTGCGGGGAAAGTGGGCAAATGCGGGTTGGCATGCGATAAGCGAGGCGAGGTGGGGGACGCCGTCTGACAGGTAGGCCGCCTCAAACTCCTGAGAGGAGGTGGGCGAGGGGGCAGAGGGCGGAGAAGCGGGAAGGGGGAAGCACCTGTGGGAAAGCAGGGAAATGGGGCAAAAGAGGGGGCATGAGATGAGCGAGGCGAAGTGGGCGTTGTGTGTGGTGGAGTCAGGGGCACCAAGATCCATTAGGTCGCTCCTCTGCTCGTCCACCCCCCGCGCCCCCCCCTCCACCTGCTCCTCCTGTTGCTGCCCTCCCACCGCCGCCTCCTCGCCTGCTGGTGGTGTTGTTGTAATTTCTGGTGGTGTCTCTGCTGCTTCTGCGGTTGCTATTAATGGTGGTGTTGCTGATGGTGATGAACGTAAACCCTCCTCTCCTTCTTCGTCTCTTTGTCCAGGTGGCAACAGCAACACCACCATCAACAGAAACCGCAGAAGCGGCAGCGACACCACCAGCAGTTACAACAACACCATCAGCAAGCGAGGGAGCGGGGGTGGGAGGGCGGTAGCAAGAGGAGCAGGTGGAGGGGGGGGGCGGGGGGTGGGCGAGCAAAGGAGCGGCCTAATGGATCTTGGTGCCCCTGACTCCGGCAAAAGAGGTGGTTTTTGAGAATTCTCAAAAGAGGGGGCATAAAGAAGGGGCATAAACACTCAGGTTGATGGACATCAGACCTCCGCAGCCCACCTGTTTACTAATAACAACATAAAGAGGCGGCATAAAGAGGGGGCATAAAGAGGGGGCATAAAGTGAGCGAGGCTAAGTGGGAGGCGCCGTCGGAAAGGCAGGCCGAATTACACACAGGGGTGGGACGGGGTGGGGGGAATTGGGGATGGAGAAGAAGCAAGGGAGTGCGGGACATGAGGTTGGCATGAGAGTGAGGCCGAGTGATAGACACCATCGGAGAAATATGCCACCTAAATGAGCTTAGACCCTATACCCTGAACCCTGGAGTTTCAACACCGCAAACCAAACCAAGCCATTAACTCAAATGGATAACTTTTAACCTTCTGCACCCAAACAGATAACATTTTCCTGCACCACAGTGGGAGGCAACCCCAGCTCCACCTGCACGAGCCCCTACGCCTCTTGGCCTTGACGAGGAGCAGCCACTGGTCGTCACAAAACTCTTCTGACGCGCCGCAAAGGTCGTCAAGGCTTTTCCTCCATCCCGCTTTGCCTCAACCGCAAGCCCTGCCCTACACCCTAAACCCCGAATCCTCAAAACCACCTGAACGAGCTCAGACCTTTAACCCTAGACCCTCCCTCAACCCCTGCACCCCTCTGCACCCACCTGAATCACGTTCTCCTGCACCACAACGGGCGGCAGTCCCAGCTCCACCTGAACGAGTCCCTGGGATTCCGCTTTGGCGATGAGCAGCCGCTGGTCGTCGCGGAACTCGCCCACCGCTTGTCCTCCTTCCCCCTCTACCCCAGCCCGCAAGCCCTGCCCTACACCCGAAATCCGGAACCCTTAGAAAACAGCTTGGATTGGACCGGCTTAAATCCTGAACCCGCAAACATTCAAGCCCTTAACCCCCCTGCACTGCACGCACCTGAATCACGTTCTCCTGCACGACAGCAGGCGGCAGTCCCAGCTCCACCTGCACGAGCCCCTGCGATTCCGCCTTGGCGATGAGCAGCCACTGGTCGTCGCGGAACTCCCCCACCGGCTTGTCCTTGAGGCGCTCGATGCCTGCGAAGCGATGGAACGTGTCGATCACCTGGCATACGGAGTACACATACACACAGAGAGGGGTGAGGGTGAGACATACGAGTCAAAGGCAACTCCCACCGGCTTGTCCTTGAGGCGCTCGATGCCTGCGAAGCGATGGAACGTGTCGATCACCTGCCGCCATGCGCACGCATCAAAGGAGAGTGGAAGGGCGCGGGATGAGGGCGGGAGGAGGGCAAAAGTGCAGCGGGAGGATTTGAAGGCATGTTCTGAGGTGCATGAAGAATGTCTGCAAATAAAAGGTACTCAAGAGTGAGTTCGACAGATCCATCCAGACATAGAAAAGTGGGCTAAAGGGATCTAGGGGTGCTTCATCCCATGAATCCATGAAAGGCCATTCCCTGGCCGCCGAATTATCAGGGGGGAGAGAGAGTTATCTTATCTGGCTGCCAGAGCCTTATAGAGGGTGGGGGCGATACCTGGCGGCCGCGCGGGGTGGGGTTGGTGGAGACGATGGCGCGCTTGTTGAAGATCTCCCTCACGTGCTCGCGCACCTTGGGCTCTATGCTTATCTCCACCTCCGCCTGCCACGCACGCACACACAAGCAAAATCGGAGGCACACACAAGCAACATAGGAGCCAATGATGAGGAGCATTCACACAAGATCTCCCTCACGTGCTCGCGCACCTTGGGCTCTATGCTTATCTCCACCTCCGCCTGCCACATGCAACACACACACAATATGGGATGGGGCGGCACGAACAAGCAACACAGGGGCCAATGTTGAGCATTCCCACAACATCTCCATCCATCCATCTCCCTCACGTGCACGCGCACCTTAAGCTCTATGCTTATCTCCACCTCCGCCTGCCACGCACGCACAGTACAAGCGGCGTCCGCCATGCGGGTACACACATAAGACGATGCATGTACATGAGGAATCCAGGAACGCAGCAGACGGGAAGGCCCACACACCATGTGGCGGGCGCCCCTGAGCACGAGGGCAGGCGAGGGGAACTCATGGGAAGTATTGTTCTAAGACATCTAAAAACAGGCTCACTGGACACCCCAGCCACCCCCCACATGCCGCACGCACCATGTGGCGAGCGCCTCTGAGCACGAGTGCAGGCGAGGGGAACTCAGCACAGATATACTCTGTTGCCACCTCCTCTGGTGACAGCGCCGTGTCCTCCACCTCGTGTTGCTGCATGAACACACACACACGCACAGAGGCATGAGAGTAGGGAAGAGGGGGTTGTTGAGTGGGCCCAAACAGGAAAATCTCAGCACAGACTGTACTCTGTTGCCACCTCCTCTGGTGATAGCGCCGTGTCCTCCACCTCGTGTTGCTGCCATCACACACACACGCATACATGCACACACCACAGCACACCCACAGGTAGGAGAGCGCAGAGGGGAAGTATGTGTGGAGGTAAGTCGTTGGCGAGGCAATTCAGCCATTCCAAATCAATTCGACATCGACCTGAGGCCCGCTGACCTGAGGCCCGCACTACCTCTCTCCCAGAAGCCCAGCACCCCCTCACAAAACCTCCATTTAAATGAAAGGCAGATTACGACTCGAGTAAAAAGTTGTCTCCATGTAAAGGTGAATTTATCTCGACGTTTGAAAGCACCTCGCGCGCACTTTGTACATGGAGATGAGGGCCTCCCCCAGCCGGAACACGCACCCTATACACACCCCACTATCCCTCACAGTGCCACACCTCTCATACACCCCTCACACCTCACCCACCCCACCCCTGGGGCGCACCTTGTACATGGAAATCAAATTCTCCCCCAGCTGGAACGCGGACAGTCCAATGCGTTTCACCACGCCCTTCAGCCCAGCGCGCCGGCACACCGAGTACATTGACCTTTTCCTCGGCCTCCTCTGCTGCCCCCCACCCCCTCTCCCACCCTCCTCCGCCACCGCCTCTTCCGGCGGAAACTGCAGGTTGAACTTGGCGTCTACATCCTCCACGGCGGGTTCCGAGAGCGCACAGTCGAGGGCGTGCAGCACGCCTTGCATGGCGAGCTGCCGCTCTGCTTCCTCGTCCTCGTCGATGCGCGGCCGCTCGTAGGCGGAGCGCAGGGAGCGCTTGCGGCGCTGCAGCAGCAGCCAGCGACGGTCCCACTGCTGAATCGCCCACAGGGCCTGCAGGGAGGGGAGGTTGTGAGGGTGGGGAAGAGCGGGGGAACTGCAGGTTGAAAACTTGGCGTCTACGTCCTCCACGGCGGTGTGGTGGCGTGGCGGGTGGTGGTGGCGTGGCGGGGTCGGTTGTTGTGTGGGGAGAGAAGGGACGGGGCCAATGGAGAAGCGGTACGGAAGGAAGGAGGGAGGAGGTTGATAGGGAGGGTGGAATTGGGGGGGGTGTGGAAGCGGAGGAGTTGCGAGGTAGGGAGGGAAAATGAGCGAGCATGCAAGGGGAGAGGAGTCCTGAAGGAGTGCAATGCAGGTGGGGCTGCTGGTCGAGCTTATATTTAACACCCACTATCATGTAGATATCCTTTTGAGTCGACTCAAAACATGACTTTTGGATCGACTAAAAAATGCAGGTAGGGCTGCTGGTCGAGCTTACATTTTACATTTCACTATCATGGAGATATCCTGCATATCCAATCCAATGGCGCGTACCTGGAAGGACTGCAGTTGCGGCTGCTCGTCCAGCTTTTCCTGCTCCACGAGGGCGGGACAGATGGACTCCTTGTGTATCACTATGTACGGCACCTGGTGGGAACAGAGGGGCAGCCGCAGGGGGAAGGAACCCGGGCCTCCAGGGGCGTACCTGGAAGGACTGCAGCTGTGGCTGCTCGTCGAGCTTGTCCTGCTCCACGAGGGCCGGGCAGATGGCCTTCTTGTGGATTGCTATGTACGGCACCTGGGGGGGGGAAGGGGGCAGGGGAAGGGAGGGGAGGGGCAGGCGTGGGCATTTGAGGGGCGTCATGGGGGGAGGGGACGTGTGAGTCGACTCAACAGTCTCCACGAGGGCCGGGCAGATGGCCTTCTTGTGGATCGCTATGTACGGCACCTGGTGGGGGGGAAGGGGAGGCAGTGGAGGGGCATGGGGGGATGGGGGGGGCATGTGGGGAGGTGAGTTGTGAGTCAACTCAACGGGCTCCACGAGGGCTGGGCAGATAGCCTTCTTGTGCATCGCTATGTACGGCACCGGGGGAACCAGTCAAAGGGGAAGCGGCATGGGGGAGGGCCAGCGGAGGAGCGGAAGGCCAAAGGGAACGGGTGAGAGGGTGGATTTTAGGCGAGTACAGTCTTTTGCATTGAATGAGGCAAAATAGACATTACAACCCCACATAGCCTGTCACAACCGGAGCAGACTCAACGCAGTGACACTCCACACCCGTCACACAACACCTTGCACCCCTCTACCATCCCTCTTCAACCTCTTTCCCCACACCGCACCTCCACTTTGGCGTCATGCAGCTCCTCCAGCACAGCAGCAATCTGCTCGACCTCCCATTGCAACAGAAATACACCCTACCTTACCCAATCCCATCGCACTCAGTCCCTTCCCAATCCCATCGCACTCAGTCCCTTCCCAATCCCATCACACTCAGTCCCTTCCCACCCCCCCGCACCTCCACTTTAGCATCATGCAGCTCCTCCAGCACAGCAGCAATCTGCTCGATTTCCTTGCAGCAGCAATACACCCAACCCTAACCAATCCCATCGCACTCAACCCCTCCCCCACCCCCCTCACCTCCACTTTAGCATCGTGCAGCTCCTCCAGCACAGCAGCAATCTGCTCGATCGCCCCATCTCTCGCCGCCACGGCCTCTCGTCTGCACTTCTCCACGTCCTCCCTCGCGCACGTGGCGGCGCGCCTCTCAGCATCAGCGGCGTACGAGAACTCGTTGCGCCGCAGGTGGTCGGGGGCTAAGGAGCCAAACACGCGCTCGTAGATCCACTCGGCTTCCAGTAGATGGTCCTCATTTTCCGGAATTACACCCACCACCTCCTCCAGGAGCTGATACCAGTGAAAGGGGGGAGCGGGAGGGGAGAGGGGGGGTGGGGTGAGAGGGGGAGGGGAGACGGAAGGGGGAGCAGAGAGGGGAGGGGAGGGGAGAGGATGACAAGAGCGGAGGGGAGTGGCAGCGCGGCTCTCAGCCTCGGCGACGTAGGAGAACTCCCCCCGTCGCAGGTGGTCGGGAGCTAAGGAGCCAAACACGCGCTCGTAGATCCTCTCGGCCTCGGGCAAATGGTCCTCATTTTCCGGAATTACACCCACCACCTCCTCCAGGAGCTGGGGTAGTGGGGAGCGACAGGGGGCAGTGGATGGAAGCAGGAGAGAGGGGGACGGAAGAGGAGGTATTAATGGTGGTGGGTGGGTGAGCCCAGGCATGAGGGGTAGGGGGTGTTGCGGCGATGAGAGAGAACAATGAATGCAGTGCAAGAGGGGAAGAGCAAATGGAGTGGAGGACGAGGGAAGGAGGAGGAGCGGGGGTGTGGATGGAAGGGGAGGAGGGAACACAACACAGCACGACGTGATGGTGGATGGATGAGCATTGAGCCCCCTGCCATGCTCCGATACCAACTGCCACATCTCCGCAGAGGAAGAGGAATACATGCAGTGCGAGAGACGGGAAGAGGGAAAAGGGAGAGGTGGTGGGGAGGAAGAGGGAGAGGAAGATAAGGGTAAGAGCCCTGCTCCCTCAGCTCACACCTGCAGCCTCTCAGGCACATCTCTTGCTCGAATGCCTTCATCCCACTCCGTCACATACTAGGCCTCCAGCAGGCTCGGCTCATCTCATACTGCCTTGCTTCCACAGCACCAACTCCCCACCTTGTTTGCTTGCATAACTCAATCATCTTGATTCTCACTTCTCTCTTCCCGCCACGCACACACCTGCAGCCTCTCAGGCACGTCTCTTGCCCTGATAGCTTCATCCCGTTCCGTCATGTACTTGGCTTCCAGCAGGCTCGGCTCATACTGCCTTGCTTCCACAGCACCCTCACCTCACTCACCCTCACTTCCCAACAAACAAGTACTTGGCTTCCAACAAGCTCAGCTCATACTGCTTCGATAGCGCCGACGCCACAACCCCTTTTTCGCACAACTCAATCTCACTATTCACTCCTCTTGCCCTCGCCCCTCGCTACCCACCTGCAGCCTCTCGGGCACATCTCTGGCTCGAATGGCTTCATCCCGCTCCGTCATGTATTTCGCCTCCAACAGGCTCGGCTCATACTGCTTCGACAGCGCCGACGCGCCACTCGCCCCCTCCCGCCCATACTCCTCCCCGCCCTCCACCCCCATCCCATCCTCATAGTAATACCCCCCCGCGCCCCCCTCCCCGCCCTCCCTCCTCTGCCTCTCCAGCTCCACGCGCCGCCGCTCCAGCAGATCCGCCACATCACCGAAAATATCCTGCGCCTCGAGGAGCGCCTCGGAGGTGACACCTGGCATGTGCGTGCCCTTCTTCTTCTTCTTGCGGCGCCGCCGCCCATGCTCGTCCGTGTCGTCCACTCCGCCCTCGACGATGAAATCTGCCATTTCGTCCTCCTCCTCCTCGTCCTCTTCCCCTTCGTCTTCCTCCATCTCCTCCTCCTCGCCCCTGCCCTCCCTCTCCTGGAAATCCTCAGGCACATCTGGGGGCAAAGGAGGGACGGAGGTGGGAAGGAGAAGGGGAAAGGGAGGTGGGGATAGGTGGGGCCCCCATAGTGGGGGGAAAGAGGTGAGAAGGGGAGGGAGGTCGCCCGTGCTCGTCTGTGTCGTCTACTCCCCCCTCCACTATGAAACCTGCCATTTCGTCCTCCTCCTCCTCGTCCTCCTCCTCCTCCTCCTCCTCCTCCTCGCCCCTGCCCTCCCTCTCCTGGAAATCCTCAGGCACGTCTGGAGGGCGGAAGCAGGAGAGGCAGGCGGGGAGGGAGGAGGAGAGAGTGGGAAGGGGAGGGGTGAAGGGTTGAGGGAAAGAGATGGGAAAGGGAGGGAGGGGGAAAGACATGGGAAGAGGAGGGGTGAAGAGATGGGAAGGGGAGAGGGAAAGGGAGGGGGAAGAGGTGGGAAGGAAGAAAAGAAGAGGAGGAAAGAGGTAAACATGAAGAGTGCTCGGAGTGGCAAGGAACAGCAGGGTGGGGAGGGAATGCAGGAAGCAGAGCAGACTGATTGAGAGGGAATGTGAGGAGCAGACAAGTCCACGCTTCTTGAATCAAAATGACACTTGCTACACACAACACATTCTTACCCTCATCCCCCCCAACCCCTAAAATCTCATCCCCCAAACAAATCTCACTCTCATCCAGAAAACATCTCACCCTCATCCCAAAACCTCTCACCCTCATCCCAAAACCCTCTCACCCTCATCCCAAAACCCTCTCACCCTCATCCCAAAACCTCTCACCCTCATCCCAAAACCCTCTCACCCTCATCCCAAAACCTCTCACCCTCATCCCAAAACCCTCTCACCCTCATCCCAAAACCCTCTCACCCTCATCCCAAAACCCTCTCACCCTCATCCCAAAACCCTCTCACCCTCATCCCAAAACCCTCTCACCCTCATCCCAAAACCCTCTCACCCTCATCTCCAAAAATCTCTCGCTCCACGCGCTGCTGTGCGCGCATGCCGCCCTCCCCTCATCCCCAACCCTTCCCAGCCTCATCCCAGTAAAGCTCACTCACCCTCATCCCCGAAAATCTCTCTCTCCACACGCTGCTGCGCGCGCATGCCGCCCTCCTCGTCGTCCATCAGCAACCCGTCCTCATTCACATCATACACATGTCACATACCTACCCCCATCCCCAGACATTCCCCTCACTCACCCTCATCCCCGAATATCTCCCTCTCCACTCGCTGCTGGGCGCGCATGCCGCCCTCCTCGTCCTCCTCGTCATCCATCAGCAACCCGTCTTCATCGCCCCCCATGTGCCGTGCCTTCTTCAACCTCCGGAACTTCTTATCCTTCTGCCTCCACACACACACGGCAGTCACACATGGCAGTCACAGGCCAAAGGGCATGGGGAAACAAAAGAAACCAAATGAGCAAGGGAAAGCATTTCTTATTCCTCCTCGCACCCCATGTCTCACGTTCTTTAACCGCCACACACTCTCGTCCTGTCCTGCTTTGCATGGATCATGAAAAAGCCACAAGGCAAAGACATGTATGCATGCATGGTAAGGAAACGACTCCAACCAAGTGAGAGACAGACCTTCAAACCGCACACCTGCTGCACTGCACCCATGCACTGCACCCATGCGCTGCACCCATGCACTGCACCCATGCGCTGCACCCATGCACTGCACCCATGCGCTGCACCCATGCACTGCACCCATGCGCTGCACCCATGCACTGCACCCATGCGCTGCACCCATGCACTGCACCCATGCGCTGCACCCATGCACTGCACCCATGCGCTGCACCCATGCACTGCACCCATGCGCTGCACCCATGCACTGCACCCATGCGCCACACCTTCGCCAAACTAGGTGGGTGTTTACACGGCCGTCCTATTGATGCGAGGCTCAGATTTTCACTGCAGCCGCCCTACTACTCTTTTACACCTACGTTTTTACACGGTAGAAGATAACCAATTAACACATGACGGCGGTTTCTTAATCTTGCCCCCCACAAGGCTCTCACCTTGGCAGGGCGGTGGAAGCCCCCCACGCCGCTCTCCTGCAGCAGCGCATAGTCGTCCTCATCCAACTCGTCCTCCTCCTCCTCCCTGCTCGTTGGGATACAGCACATGGGGGGTTGGGGGATGCGGAATGGGGGATTGAGAGCTTTGAGACGTCTCAAACCACGCTGCTCTCCTGCAGCAGAGCATTGTCGTACTCATCCTCCTGCTCCTCCCTTTTTTTTTTAGGTTGACTTTGAGAATTCTCAATCAACCTCCTGCAGCAGCGCATAGTTGTCCTCGTCCTCCTGCTCATGGGGGATCAAAAGTTGGGGACGGAGGAAGGGAGGGGCACGGGGGGTGATTGGGAATGAGGCACGGGGGACCGGGGAGAGAGGTTTGAAGAAGAGGGAGGGGCATGTGAAGCACTCCCTAACTCTTGCTCACATCACACACATGCAAGAAGTGAAGTGATGCGCAAGCGGAGAGAGGCCAGAGAGTGCGGAAGTGGCAAGTGGCAAGACAACGTCCATGCAGGCAGCACCACATTCCCAACCCATCCCTCCCAAGCACGTGCACCTTGCTGCACTGGCGCCCCTCGTCTTCCCCCTCCCCCCCCCCCCCTTGCCTCACCTCTTGCGGCGCTTCTTCTTCTTCTTCTCCCTCCGTTCCTCGTCACTCCCCGGCCCCTCCTCACCTCCCCCCTCCTCCTCCTCGCCCTCACCGCCCTCCTCCTCCTCTTCATCCCCGTCCACCATCCACCCGTCCTTCTCATACTCATCCTGCCCCTCCTCTGCTCCCCTCACCCGGAAACAAGACGCGCACACACACACACGCACAAGCACGCATGGCGATTACGAAAGAGACACAACGCGCGATAAGAAAAGAAAGACTCACTCACGCACACGCGATCAGAGGGACTGGCACGCACCATGGCTGCCGATAACGCGGCCAGCAGAACGCCGAGCCTCCTCGCCATTCCTAGGCTGCCGTACTTTAGATTCGCCCGATCGAATCGAACAAAAATCACTTTCGAGGCGCCTTAAAAGTAGTACTCTAGATAGCCCGCCCAACCAAATACCTTTTTTGCCCTACCTCCCTCCTCACATCTTTTATCATTCTTCTCTCCCTCCTTCCCTTCCCTCGCCCCATGTCCGCGCCCTAAACTTCCTCCTCTCGCCATGCCTCCCGATTCTCCACCAACCTTCCTCCGCGTGCGACACCTACTTTCACGCTCTACCCTCCTCTGCGCGCCTACCTTCCTCCGCGCGCTCTACCCTCCTCTGCGCGCCTACCTTCCTCCGCGCGCTCTACCCTCCTCTGCGCGCCTACCTTCCTCCGCGCGCTCTATCCTCCTCTGCGCGCCTACCTTCCTCCGCGCGCTCTACCCTCCTCTGCGCGCCTACCTTCCTCCGCGCGCTCTACCCTCCTCTGCGCGCCTACCTTCCTCCGCGCGCTCTACCCTCCTCTGCGCGCCTACCTTCCTCCGCGCGCTCTATCCTCCTCTGCGCGCCTACCTTCCTCCGCGCGCTCTACCCTCCTCTGAGCGCCTACCTTCCTCCGCGCGCTCTACCCTCCTCTGCGCGCCTACCTTCCCCCGCGCGCCCTACCTTCCTCCGCGCGCCCTACCTCTCCCGCCCCCTTCTTGCCCTACCTTCCTCCGCGGCCTACCTTCCTCTTCATCGTCGTCCTCCCCGTTCACGTCGTCGCCCTCGCCCTCCTCTTCCTCCTCCTCCTCGTCGCGCTCCACCTCATCTGCGAGGTCCCGTCGAAACGAGACAGGCACAGATGAGAGATGAGAAAGAAACGAGGAGAGCGATGAAAGAGAGGCGTGCGAAAGAAACTGAGCGCATGGAGCTACAGGGGGAGGGGATGGAGGGAGGGACGAGGGGACGGAGGCCAAGGGGGAGTCGGGAAAAGGGAACAGTAATTCATTCCGGACCGAGAAAGCATGTCCTCTGCTACGTCGGTGTTGTGAAACGATAAAATGCCCTATGAGTGTCTAAACGAGGCTAGAAATAGGCTGATTCCAAAGCCGCGAAAGGAATACTTGATTAATTCCGGGCCGAGAAAGCATTTCGTCTGCTACGCGGAAATTGGCCGAACTCGCCTGCCGCAACTTATCATTCCAGCAACGCCGCGACCGACGTACCGACTCTAACAGTGCAACTCCGATATTACAAACCTTAGGAGTGCTTAGAAGCAATTGACTTAGTCCGTAAACATTCCGGTCGCGAAGCTTGGGAGATTAGGTCTCAAGTTGAGGCTGCGTACCTGGATCGAAGCCCATGATCGGACGGTTGACAGCACACGCAAATCAGGCAGGAGAAAACGTCCGATCCACTAACGCTCTCGCTTAGTCAACCTTCGACTGCGAGCTAGGATAGGAGCTAGGATAGACCGAATCGGAGCGGCAGTGTTGGTATGGACGCTGCCAACAAGAACAGTGAGGCGAGGTGTGGTTGCTTGCTTGCGGGCGTATGCGAGTTTGTAACAGGTCGCATGCGGGCTGTGCGAGGGAACGACCTGTATCGCAAACGGGTGGGAGGCTTTCCCAAGGCTCGCTTGAATGCGGCTCGATAAGGTATTTTGCATTCTACCTTGTACGAATGAAACTTGTTAGGTGGGGCAAAAATGATTGTTGGGAGTTGGACATCGTGCCCACCAACATCCAGAAGCATATCACTGCTGAGCTACGGCACAGGGCACCGCCATCTGACTCCATTGCCATTGCTTGTAGTAACCGTTTATTAGGCTTTTGTATGCAGAAGCTATTTTTTCCATCTAAAAAGTCTATTTATAGCCGTCATAGCATAATAAATTTTGGAGTACAAATCGAAAGAGGTGCAGCACTGCACACACAGGCTCTACACATGAGCAGACAGCATGTGCAGCAGCATGCCAGTGAGCTGATTGAGTCCTCCACACCACAGCTATGCGCTTTCATTGAGGCTTAGAGGCCTATTCGAAGCACTGAGTTATATATGCTATGGGGCTCTACATAGCCATCACGATCCATCAACTGCCTGCACCCCTTAACACCCAGATACTGCAGCATCTTCAAATCAGCCATGTCCGACGGTAGCGCACTCAACCGCCAACATCCATCCAAGACAAGGCACCTTAGTGCAGCAAGCCGCACAAAGCGGGGAGGGAGCGAGTCAATGAGGGTGGATGCAAGATCGAGCTCAGTCAGGCATGCGAGGCTGGTGAGAGAAGCAGGGAGCCGTTCCAATGCCTTGCAACTTGCCAGGTTCAGTTTGCACAGCCTGGTTAAGGCACCGATGCCCTCTGGGAGGTGAGTGACCTTGCATGCATGAACCTCCAACCGCGTCAGCTGCTGAAGCTGCGTGATGCTCTCTGGCAGCTCAGACAATTCCTCTGCACCATGTATCTGCAGCTCTCTCAGCTGGTGTAACTTGAAGCCGATACTCTCTGGAAGAGAGGGAATCTTGGCAGCATGATAGATCGCCAACGTGTGCAGCTGAGAAAGGGATGCCAGCGGGAGTGGAAGCTCTGTTGCAGCATCTTCTAACACCAGCTCCAAGTGCTTCAGACTTGACAAGCTTTCACTGAATTCCATTGTGTGGCAGACATGAACCCGAGATAGCTTCAGCTCCCTCAGATTTGGCAGCACCGGGATTGTCAGCAGAGGGGCAGGGCTGCTCCTCCTGCTCGCCAGACTCAGCTTCTCAAGAGAGGGCGGCAGACATTGGACGGATTCAGGCAGCAACTGGCAGTCGGTGATCTCGAGGTGTTTGAGCCTCGTGAGTCGGTCCAGACGCATCGAAGGCCAGGAGAGCTGTTGACAGAAATGAACGGTTAGGATTTGAAGGCACCGGAGGGCTGAAAGAGACGCTGGCAGGTGGCTTAGCTGATCGCATGAGGCAATGTGGAGCTGCTTTAAGCGGCTTAGATTCCCCATGTCCTCTGGCAGCATCTCAATCTTGCACTGATTCAGCGCAAGCCTGGTTAGCGATCTCAGCTGGGTGAAAGAGGGGGGGAGTGGCTGTTTCTGAGTGTTGCCATCCAGCAGAAGAGTGTGCAGGCGTGACAGTGAGCCAATGTCTTCTGGAAGAATCAAGCGCTGCCTCACGAGACAGAGAGTGGTGAGGGCTGTGAGGCTGCAGAACCCTGCTGGCAGCTTCCAAATCCCGTCGCAGTCGAGAATGAACAGGGTTTCCAGGGATGTGAGTAGGCCAAAAGAATCCGGAAGGCTCTTGAGTGCGAGATTATCTAGGACCAAAGTTTTGAGGGCAGGAAGATGCCCGAAATCCTCGGGCAGGTTGGAGAGCATGCGGCAAGTGGAGATTGTCAAGCCCGTGAAGGAGCTCGGAAGACTCAGCTGCTCGGGTGGGTCCGATGTGGAGCTTTCCAGGAAGGTGCGATGACAAAATGAGTCCGGAAGTTTCTCAAGTGGTAGCATTTCCAGCACCAAAGTCTTGAGCGCTGTCAGCTGGAAAAAGTCCTCAGGTAGGCTTGAGAACGAGCAACAGGAAGAAATCGTCAGGCTCTCCAAAGCGCTGAGATATACGAACTCGTCGGGCAGATTTGAAAAGTTTCTGCAGCTGCGAATGCTCAGTTCGCGAAGGTACGGGAGAGCATCCGCGATGTTCCCAGGAAGCTGCATGAGCTGGTTGGAGTCGGTAATAAGCAGCCGCTCGAGACGGTTATACGGTTCAATTTCTGACGGAATCGTGAGAGTAGATTCTAAACTCAACAGCGGCAGTTGCGGGAGGATGAGAGCGGCAGCGGGTTGATCGGATGGCGAAATTAGGGTTTCATCTGATATGGAAAGGCTGGCGATGCTCGGAAGGCGAAGGAGACCCGCCAATTGCCTCGCGTTGATGCGATGCGAGGCGACTCGGAGAGCTGTCAGCGACGAAAGGCTGGCGAGATGAGGGGATTCGAGCGCTAATGGCGTTGTTAAGGTGAGGGAATGTAAGTGTGCGAGTTGGAAAAAGGAAGCCGGTAGATCCATGTCTTCCCGGAGGCCAAAGAAGGAAAGCCGCTTCAGCTGCGTGCAATGCTGGAAGAGTCGATCCAGACCAGATTCGGTAACCGGGTGGCTGAAGTTCTTCCTGATCCCGAAGTTTTTTAATGTGATACTCCTTCCCACGTAGAGCGAAGTCAGCTTAGAGCGCGACGACGCGAGGCGATTCAGAAAATCGTCGTTGATCGTCGCCACGCTGCCGTCGCACAGATGCAGACGGGTCAGATTCGGGAAGAAAGCGAGAGCCGTCGCGACAGTTTGAAGAGGAACATCGAGGTTGGGTCGTACGGAAAGTGTGGAGACGGAGAGCTGCGCGAGTCGCCGCCAGCGACGGCAGACCGACGCGATGAGGAGATGGTAACCCGCGGAGTTTGTGGAGAGTTGATCTGTTGGCGCAAAGTGTGACTCTATCGGAGGATCGAATCCAGGTGCCCGGTTCGGATGAAGGTATCTGGGCTTGTGGAGCAAGGAGGTCCATAGAGCATCGCTTTCGACTTTGCGGGTGCCGGGATTCGCGGAGTGCCATAGGATTTGGATGAGAAGGTCGTCGGGGAGGCGGTGGATGTGCGCGCTAGGCTCCATAACGTCTCGAGCTTGAGGACTCACGAGCGACCTGATTGAAAGTGGAGAATGAATGAACTGTCTTTATACTCCTCTTCCACACACTACAGAATTCGGTCGAGCGTAGAGCGGAGCCTATGCTCCCTCTCCCCTTGCATAGTCGGTCCGACACTACTAGCCTTCGTAAAGATGTACCCCATGTTTCACATGGATCAACTAGGATGTGTACTTCTGGCGAGATGATGCGATGCGACGAGTGGTGCTTGCCTAGAAGGGGTCCGCAGAATTCCTGTTCGCTGCGGACCAACCGGTCCAGTCCGCAGACGGGGATGAACCCGCTATGAGCCGGCTGATTGGGCCAGGCAAGTAGTGTACTGAACCTGGTTACCACGTACACTGTATGGTCCGCCCTGGTCCGAATCAATCTAGCCTGGGAGATTCGTTCGAGACCTGGTTCGGACCCGATTTTCAGACCAGCACTGATCAACCAAATTCGAAACTATCTGCTCAAATCATGGGCTTTCGCGTAGGTTCCCCACGGTCAAAAGCGGTGAAGTGAGACCCAACAGTCAGCTATTACGAAAAGCCACCTAGACGTTATGTTGACCATTGTGGATACGAACCACCATAATCAGCGTGTGTTGGCCTCGTTCGAGGTTGGTAGCCTCCTCGGGACTCTTGATCTTCCAATCTTCTTGATCAGTACGTACAAAGGGGCTGTTCGCCAGCACCATTATAGCAAAAAACGACGGGATAACGACGGGATCAGGAAGGTGGGTCTCGCCTTCCTGATCCCGTCAGTTAGAGTTCGTTAACCTCCGTCAGCCTGGTCAGCCCGTGAAAAAAGTGCCGAGCCTCACCTACCGTCCAAACCAACAAACAAAGTGGGCGTCTGGCGAACGCCCACTTTTGTCCACCAAATCTAACGCTTCGACGGCATATGGAAGCGGGGACGAAACTTCGTCCCCAGGCAAAACACCATCCCCTAGCCATGCCATCGCCATGCTGCGTTTTTCAGATCACAGCGATGGCACAGCCGTCGCATTGCCGTTCAAAAGGGATCGAAGGGAAGGTGGGGATGGAGGTTCCCGATGCGGTTGAGAAATTTCTCAACCGCAGGCGCAGAAGTTTCCTGAACGGCATTACGGCCAAACCTCGGAGGTGGGTTCCACCTCCGTTTCCATATGCGGTCGCGATGCCGATGCCATCATTTTCGTTTTAAAATACGATTTGCTGGCGAACAGCACCAAAGTTTCAGTATAAACCCTTAGAACCTTCAGAACGTGTTCTCTAGGCACTGGCAGAGGGGGAGCGAGGGGATAGGAATGTTCCCCTCTCTGCATTTTTGGTTCGACACGTCGGCCAGCCCATAAAACCGTGCCGAGCCACCATTTACCCTCCGAACCAAAACGAAGGTAAATGTCAACAGAACGCTCATTTACCCCCAGGGATGTGCACCCTTTGGAACCTCCACACAACCCTCCCCACCTTCCTCCTCAGGCAAATTTTGCCTCCCTCACCCCCCCTTCCGGCAACCACTCTTCACGGGGATTTGGGACAGATGTAAGGTGGTGTTCTGGTGACTCCTGCGGGAGGGGGAGGTGGGGGGCGAATGTAAATGATGATCGTTCTGAGGGTGTTTCCTGGCCCGATTCCACCTCCCGCTACAACCTAAGATGGGAAATTTCGGGCGCGAGGGGGGGAAGGCTCCGACGGGTGTTTCCCCCCCCAGCTCCTCTCTTACATCTGTCCCAAATCCCCGTGAAGAGTGGTTGCCGAATGGGGGGGCGAGGGAGGCAAAATTTGCCTGAGGAGGAAGGTGGGGAGGGTAAATGTGCAGCTTCCAAGGGGTGCACATCCCTGGGGGTAAATGAGCGTTCTGTTGGTATTTACCTTCGTTTTGGTTCGGAGGGTAAATAGGTGGCTCGGCACGGTTTTACGGGCTGATCGACGTGTCGAACAAAAAATGCAGAGAGGGGAACATTCCTATTTCCCCTCGCTCCCCCTCCGCCAGTGCCTAGAGAACACCACCTAAGAGAGGAGGTGGGGGGGAAAACACCCGTCGGAGCCTTCCCCCCCTCGCGCCCCAAATTTCCCATCTTCGGTTGTAGCGGGAGGTGGTGAAATCGGGCCAGGAAACACCCTCGGAACGATCATCATTTACATTCGCCCCCCCACCCCCTCCCACAGGAGTCACCAGAACACCACCAATGAATACGCCCTACACTATTGTGGTTCCATGGTACAGCCAGTACATCGGCAGCAGGGATTCTGAAATGAAAGACGTCGTAGGCGATTTCGGCCAATTCTGGCGTAGCAGACCATGTTCTTTCTCGGCTCGGATGAATGAAGTCCTTCTTTTCCCGCTCTAGGTTCTATCGTTCTAGACATTCATAGGACGTTCTATAGCTCGAGTGCATTTCAGACCGTTCGTGAAACCCACGCACTTGTAACAGTGATACTACGCTTGTATCCTCATTCATTAGTAACCTACACTGACTTTGCGACAAAACCTCAAGCGCAGAGGTGTCCTCATTATCCGGAAACATTGCTGACTGGGCAGCACTACCCTCAACAATGTTAGAGCACTACATCAGAAGAGTTTCCGCGTCAAATTTGTTTAGACGAGGGTTGGCGGAAGCAGTGGCGCCAGCGAGAGCGGTAGCGAGTGGTGGCAGCAGTAGCAGCGAGATCCATGCGGTGGATGCCGCTGGTGCCATCATGCCGTCCGCAGCAGCGCTGCTAGCGGCGCTGCTAACAACACATGCCGCACCAAACGCGGCGCCCGCTGCGGTGATGGGGCGAGAGGCCCTTCTGGGGATAGCACGCGGCACAGAAAAGCCACGTGGCGGAAGAACAGGTGGAGGCGCTTTAATGGATCGTGGGATCGCTAGTACAGTTGCTGCTAGAGCAGGCGGGGTTGAGGGTTTTACGGAGAGGGGAGGAGACGAGAGAGAATGGGGAGAGGAGGCGGGAGGCGGAGAGATGGACAGTGAGGCGGTGCTGTGGCATGAGAGCGAGGGGCGCATTGCGCCAGGTACGACCATGTGCACGCACGCGCTTGCTCGCTCCCTGCTGCTCCACGCACGCACCCGCCTCTCCTGCTTTCATCCCCTGCATTTTTTTCCCTAATAAGCCCCGCCGTCTCGTATTCACTTTTTCCCCATCCTCCTCGCCATCACTCCCCAACCATTACCGTGTCAAGAACACCGCCATCACTCTCCCATCACCTCTTCTCAAGTCGCCCCACCAACCTACTGCTCGCCGCTCCCAACAGCGCGGCCACCCTGTCTTTTGTCTTCTAGGCTTCGGGCCCTTCCTGCCCCCTCCCCCTCTCTCTCTCCCCCCCCCTCCCCCCACCCTCCCTCCTCGCACGCCCACCTGTTTTGCCCTCCTGACCTTGGCTCCCCGTTTCCCCGCAGGCCGCGCCCTCATCTCGCTGCATGTGCCCCGCGCCATACCCACTCGCCCCTCGCATCCCTCCCCCACTTCCTCTCCCTCCTCCTCGCCCTCCCCCCCACTCCCTGGGCGTGTGGCGAGGGATGGGGTGGGAGGGGAGGGCGCAGCGGGGAAGGGCGCGGGGGAGGAGGGCGCAGCGGGGGAGGGCGCAATGAGGGAGGGCGTGCGAGTGCGAGTGAGGGGCAGCGCAGTTGACCTGGCTTCCATGGGGGGGCTCTTCCTTAAAGAGCGGGTGAGGCTGCTGTATTGCAATCCATCGAGCTGTGGGTTTAGAGTGTTTCTTAGAGAAGTATTCTGTTCTGTATGTAACCCACGTCTGCCCCGCATGCAAGCGAGTGTGCTCTGCCCCGCATGCAAGCGAGTGTGCTCTGCCCCGCATGCAAGCGAGTGGTCCGAGTCCATCCTGCCTGCGGTTCCTGTTCTGCAACACACCCATCCATCCACCCACTCTCCCTTCCCCCCTTTCCCCCCCCTCTCCACCCCCCCCTCCCCTGGTGACTTTCTTCCCCTCCATCCGCACATCTCGGTTCTCCCCTCGTGATGGGCAGGTCAGCTGGGGCCAGGAGTGGGTGGACCAATTGCGAGCTGACACGTGGATGCATGCTTTCAACTTCACCGGAGCACAGCAGAGACAGGCAGGGAGAGGCAGGGTTGGGATGAGGGTGCCGACAGGGGCTATGACAACGCAGATGGGAAGAGTGGAGGAGGCGGTGCTGCAGGTTATGCTGGTGTCCCGCAGGAGGGAGGGCGTGTAGGGAGTGCAAGGAGTGCAACACAGGAGGGAGGGAGTGCAGGAGGTGCCATAGACAGAGGTGACAGTGACTATGGTCCTGCTGACGTCTTCCAAGTGTTGCTCGACGCCAGCCATGGCACCGCTGAGGTGAGGCAGGGCACAGGGTTGACCAGGGGACAGGGTTGACCAGGGGACAGGGTTGACCAGGGGACAGGGTTGACCTGTGGACAGGATTGACCAGGGGACAGGGTTGACCTGTGGACAGGATTGACCAGGGGACAGGGTTGACCAGGGGACAGGGTTGACCAGGGGACAGGGTTGACCTGTGGACAGGATTGACCAGGGGACAGGGTTGACCAGGGGACAGGGTTGACCAGGGGACAGGGTTGACCTGTGGACAGGATTGACCAGGGGACAGGATTGACCAGGGGACAGGGTTGACCAGGGGACAGGGTTGACCAGGGGACAGGGTTGACCTGTGGACAGGATTGACCAGGGGACAGGGTTGACCAGGGGACAGGGTTGACCAGGGGACAGGGTTGACCTGTGGACAGGATTGACCAGGGGACAGGGTTGACCAGGGGTCAGGGTGGACTATTGGCAGTGTGTTTCTGCTCATTGTCCCATTGATAGGTATAAACTCTAGTGTTTGCTTGTGCTCACTATTGGCAGGTGCTAGTGGAGCTGCCTGTCCATATGCACACGGGCTCACAGCCCTCGTGTTTGGCAAGGGGTCAGGGTTGCACGGGTTGAGCAGGGGACAGGGTTGATCTGTGCAGTCTGTGTCTGCTTCTTGTCCCACTGTTAGGTATATGCATGTTACGTTCACTCATGCATGTATGTGAGAGTGCCTCTGTGTGTGTGTGTGTGTGTGTGTGTGTGTGTGTGTGTGTGTGTGTGTGTGTGTTTTCCTGTCACTACATGTGCCCATTATTGGCAGGTGCTAGTGGAGCTGCCTCTCAGTGCACACTCAGGCTCACATCCCATTTGAATGCGCCTAAAAATTAAACTCCACTGCTTGCATGTGCCCCTTATTGGCAGGTGCTAGTGGAGCTGCCTGTCCGTGCACACGCAGGCTCACATCCCATTTGTTAGGTACCTAAAAAGTAGACTCCACTGACTGCATATGCCCCCCTATTGCCAGGTGCTAGTGGAGCTGCCTGTCCGCGTGCACGCTCGCTCACATCCCCCGTGGCTGCTTTTGAGACTTCCTTAAAACCAACATGTCTTCACGTCTGCCTGTGCCTTCCGATGTGTGCCACTGCATGTTCCCACTACTGCCAGGTGCTAGTGGAGCTGCCTCTCAGTGCACATGCACGCTCACATCCCAAATTTTGAGGCGCCTAAAGTATAAACTCCACTATTTGCATGTACCAGGTGCTAGTGGAGCTGCCTGTCCGTCCACACGCAGGCCCACAACCCTCGTGTCTGCTTTTGAGACTTCTCAAAACCAACATGTCTTCACGTCTGCGCATGCCCGTGCCTTCCAATGTGTGCCATTGCATGTGCCCGTTATTGCCAGGTGCTTGTAGAGCTGCCTGTCCGTGCACACTCATGCTCACAGCCCAAGTTTGAGGCGCCTAAAAATTAAACTCCACTGTTTGCATGTGCCCACTATTGGCAGGTGATTGTGGAGCTGCCACTCCGTGCACACGCAGGCGCACAGCCCCGGTGGGTGCTGGTAAAGCTGCTACTCACTGTCGCCGACCAGGCTTCCAATCGCCTCCACATCAAAGTGCCTGCTACATTCAATTCAAGTGTAGAATCGTCCTGATGTTTTTATATGCGGCTTAATTAGTGTAGTTAAGGGTTCGGAAGAATGTACTGTTTCAACGGGTCATCAAATGGATTGGCGGAGACACAGTGGCGCTGTAGCTTCACTTGCAAGGAAGCCTGCTGCAGCATACCGAAATGGTCTAGTAGCCGTGTGATGTACAGACAGGTTGGACTGAATGATTAGGCATTGCTTATTTTTGTATCTTAATCGTTAGTAGCCTGTTTTTTTAAATAAATTTTTTCACACTACCGGTCCCACTTATATCAAGTAACGGTGTGTCTGGAAGTGGGTGCACTGTCCCCTCGCAATCCTTGGTGCCGCCTGTTTCTCGTCACTCGCACTTTCTCCGCCGCACCGCCATCAAAACCAGAGCTAACAGCAGCACCACGCTGGTAGCATTTGCCGCTCCACAGGATCGCTTCAAAATCGCACAGAGAGCAGATGACCGGTTCGATTATTCGTTTCAGCCAGTTCGCCGATAATTGACTTTATCCGTTACTATGAACGTGGAGGTGCGACTCGAAGCTGTTCCCGCTTGGTTTTACAGTTTGGCGTCATTCAAGCTAGCCATTCTTCTATTAGAAGACTTTTCTTTTCGTTCTGCAAACATCAACTCATATGGTCTCCTTTGTCCGCCGTCATGATCCCGTCATGATCGCGCCGTAATCACGTCGTGATCATTCCGTCATCCTCTGCTCGCCTTGCTCCTTGAATGCGTCAGGCGATCCTTCGTCGGCATCCTTCTAAGAAGCTTCGCCGTGTTTTGAAGGACCCTTCCACGTATAGGTTCCAGGTATCAAATACGTTTTGACGTCGCCCGTTTTACGAACTCCATCGGTTATCCGTTCCAAAGTATCCATGCAGCTGGTTCAGATTTTGAAAATTTCCGGCTGAAGGAAAGCAAACTAACTAGCTTACTATCAACCAGGTTCCTCCCCCACACCCCCCCTCCCCCCCCCCCCCCACCCCCCCTCCCCTTCCCCCCACCCCCTCTCCCCTCCCCCCCACCCCCCTTCCTTCCCCACCCTCCCCCCCTTTCCTTCTTCCCCCCCACCCCCCCCCCCCCCCCGCTAAGAGGAAAAATGTTAAAGAGAGTCAGAACGGAACGCGTACGCGTCCTCTCGGAACGTGTTTGATGCTTATTTGGTCACTCTTGACATCCCTCCGTTTTCCGTTGTTCATTATCCCTCAGGTGCTTGTATCAGAAGTGGTTGGAAACCGTAATGGGCAGCCTTATTTGCGTCGGCATGGCTATCGAGTGGACCATGAGTACTTCTACCCTGCCAGGTGTGCTGCCAGGTGTGCTGCCAGGTGCGCTGCCAGGTGTGCTGCCAGGTGTGCTGCCAGGTGCGCTGCCAGGTGCGCTGCCAGGTGTGCTGCCAGGTGTGCTGCCAGGTGTGCTGCCAGGTGCGCTGCCAGGTGCGCTGCCAGGTGCGCTGCCAGGTGCGCTGCCAGGTGTGCTGCCAGGTGTGCTGCCAGGTGCGCTGCCAGGTGTGCTGCCAGGTGTGCTGCCAGGTGTGCTGCCAGGTGTGCTGCCAGGTGCGCTGCCAGGTGCGCTGCCAGGTGCGCTGCCAGGTGCGCTGCCAGGTGCGCTGCCAGGTGCGCTGCCAGGTGCGCTGCCAGGTGCGCTGCCAGGTGCGCTGCCAGGTGCGCTGCCAGGTGCGCTGCCAGGTGCGCTGCCAGGTGCGCTGCCAGGTGCGCTGCCAGGTGCGCTGCCAGGTGCGCTGCCAGGTGCGCTGCCAGGTGCGCTGCCAGGTGCGCTGCCAGGTGCGCTGCCAGGTGCGCTGCCAGGTGCGCTGCCAGGTGCGCTGCCAGGTGCGCTGCCAGGTGCGCTGCCAGGTGCGCTGCCAGGTGCGCTGCCAGGTGCGCTGCCAGGTGCGCTGCCAGGTGCGCTGCCAGGTGCGCTGCCAGGTGCGCTGCCAGGTGCGCTGCCAGGTGCGCTGCCAGGTGCGCTGCCAGGTGCGCTGCCAGGTGCGCTGCCAGGTGCGCTGCCAGGTGCGCTGCCAGGTGCGCTGCCAGGTGCGCTGCCAGGTGCGCTGCCAGGTGCGCTGCCAGGTGCGCTGCCAGGTGCGCTGCCAGGTGCGCTGCCAGGTGCGCTGCCAGGTGCGCTGCCAGGTGCGCTGCCAGGTGCGCTGCCAGGTGCGCTGCCAGGTGCGCTGCCAGGTGCGCTGCCAGGTGCGCTGCCAGGTGCGCTGCCAGGTGCGCTGCCAGGTGCGCTGCCAGGTGCGCTGCCAGGTGCGCTGCCAGGTGCGCTGCCAGGTGCGCTGCCAGGTGCGCTGCCAGGTGCGCTGCCAGGTGCGCTGCCAGGTGCGCTGCCAGGTGCGCTGCCAGGTGCGCTGCCAGGTGCGCTGCCAGGTGCGCTGCCAGGTGCGCTGCCAGGTGCGCTGCCAGGTGCGCTGCCAGGTGCGCTGCCAGGTGCGCTGCCAGGTGCGCTGCCAGGTGCGCTGCCAGGTGCGCTGCCAGGTGCGCTGCCAGGTGCGCTGCCAGGTGCGCTGCCAGGTGCGCTGCCAGGTGCGCTGCCAGGTGCGCTGCCAGGTGCGCTGCCAGGTGCGCTGCCAGGTGCGCTGCCAGGTGCGCTGCCAGGTGCGCTGCCAGGTGCGCTGCCAGGTGCGCTGCCAGGTGCGCTGCCAGGTGCGCTGCCAGGTGCGCTGCCAGGTGCGCTGCCAGGTGCGCTGCCAGGTGCGCTGCCAGGTGCGCTGCCAGGTGCGCTGCCAGGTGCGCTGCCAGGTGCGCTGCCAGGTGCGCTGCCAGGTGCGCTGCCAGGTGCGCTGCCAGGTGCGCTGCCAGGTGCGCTGCCAGGTGCGCTGCCAGGTGCGCTGCCAGGTGCGCTGCCAGGTGCGCTGCCAGGTGCGCTGCCAGGTGCGCTGCCAGGTGCGCTGCCAGGTGCGCTGCCAGGTGCGCTGCCAGGTGCGCTGCCAGGTGCGCTGCCAGGTGCGCTGCCAGGTGCGCTGCCAGGTGCGCTGCCAGGTGCGCTGCCAGGTGCGCTGCCAGGTGCGCTGCCAGGTGCGCTGCCAGGTGCGCTGCCAGGTGCGCTGCCAGGTGCGCTGCCAGGTGCGCTGCCAGGTGCGCTGCCAGGTGCGCTGCCAGGTGCGCTGCCAGGTGCGCTGCCAGGTGCGCTGCCAGGTGCGCTGCCAGGTGCGCTGCCAGGTGCGCTGCCAGGTGCGCTGCCAGGTGCGCTGCCAGGTGCGCTGCCAGGTGCGCTGCCAGGTGCGCTGCCAGGTGCGCTGCCAGGTGCGCTGCCAGGTGCGCTGCCAGGTGCGCTGCCAGGTGCGCTGCCAGGTGCGCTGCCAGGTGCGCTGCCAGGTGCGCTGCCAGGTGCGCTGCCAGGTGCGCTGCCAGGTGCGCTGCCAGGTGCGCTGCCAGGTGCGCTGCCAGGTGCGCTGCCAGGTGCGCTGCCAGGTGCGCTGCCAGGTGCGCTGCCAGGTGCGCTGCCAGGTGCGCTGCCAGGTGCGCTGCCAGGTGCGCTGCCAGGTGCGCTGCCAGGTGCGCTGCCAGGTGCGCTGCCAGGTGCGCTGCCAGGTGCGCTGCCAGGTGCGCTGCCAGGTGCGCTGCCAGGTGCGCTGCCAGGTGCGCTGCCAGGTGCGCTGCCAGGTGCGCTGCCAGGTGCGCTGCCAGGTGCGCTGCCAGGTGCGCTGCCAGGTGCGCTGCCAGGTGCGCTGCCAGGTGCGCTGCCAGGTGCGCTGCCAGGTGTGCTGCCAGGTGTGCTGCCCTCCCTACGCGCATGCCATATCCTGCCAGGTGTGCTGCCCTCCCTACGCGCATGCCATATCCTGCCAGGTGTGCTGCTGTCCCTACGCACATGCCATATCCTGCCAGGTATCCCGTTCGTGTTTGCTTATTTCTCCTGTCATCCGTTTTCTTTGAGGCTCCACCTCACCCCTCGTGTCCTCCCTTGCTGTGTCTGTCTCTGCTCTTGGTGTCCTCGTCTCGCCTGCCTACCTCGCAGTGCCATCAAGCTGTGTGCGGCAGTGGTGGCTCTTCTCAGAGTGGCCGAGTTTCAAGGTGAGAGACTCGTATATTGGGGTACGCTGAGTCTAAATGGGTTCAAAGCGGTTTTTTTGAGGCGCCTCAAAAGTCTGTGTGCGGCAGTGGTGGCTCTTCTCAGAGTGGCGGAGTTCCAAGGTGAGAGGCTGGTACATTGGGTTGGGGTACGCTGGGTTGGGGTACGCTGGGTTGGGGTACGCTGGGTTGGGGTACGCTGGGTTGGGGTACGCTGGGTTGGGGTATGCTGGGTTGGGGTACGCTGGGTTGGGGTACGCTGGGTTGGGGTACGCTGGGTTGGGGTACGCTGGGTTGGGGTACGCTGGGTTGGGGTACGCTGGGTTGGGGTACGCTGGGTTGGGGTACGCTGGGTTGGGGTACGCTGGGTTGGGGTACGCTGGGTTGGGGTACGCTGGGTTGGGACTGGCAGAGTCCCAACGTACTACGTTGGGTTTCAAAGGGCTCGTGGTTATTGTGAGATAGTGAAGTGACAGAATAACAGCACCAAGTTACCTTGCATGAGCAGATTGCTACATTGGGCTTCCCTTCCAGTGAACGTGGCCTAGTTGGCTTGACTTGGCACCACCAGCATAATATTTTCTCACTCCTTCACCCCCTTTCCCTCTCACTCTCTCTCTGTAAAATCCCCCACTTGCACTCATGTGACGCTGCCCCCTCCGTTTCCCGCCTTGTTGCCTCAACACCACCCACCAACAAAAGCTGTTTCCACTCCTTTTCCCTCCTCCTCCTCCTCCCGCCTCCCCCCCCCCCCGTCTTCTCTTCCTCTAATCCCCCTTGCAGCTCGAGGCGTGATCGTATCGCTGAACCCGCCTCTCTCCTTCCTCCCCCGTCCCCCCTTTTCCTAACCCCCACACCCTCCCGTTCCGCCTTCCTCTTCTCTCCCTCCGTTCCCCCTTGCAGCTCGAGGCATGAACGTATCGCTGAACTCGCCGCTCTCCTTCCCCTCCCTCCCCCCCTATCCTAACCCCCACGCCCTCCCCTTCCGCCTTCCTCTTCCCTTTCTCTAATCCTCCTTGCAGCTCGAGGCATGAACGTATCGCTGAACTCGCCGCTCTCCTTCCCCTCCCTTCCCCCCTATCCTAACCCCCACGCCCTCCCCTTCCGCCTTCCTCTTCCCTTTCTCTAATCCTCCTTGCAGCTCGAGGCATGAATGTATCGCTGAACTCGCCGCTCTCCTTCCTCCCTCTGTACCCCGGAGACAAGGCGGAGAGCCATGACCCCTCCAACCTCAACGGAGGCCACATCACAATCGCTCATGAAATCAGAAAGATGCTCCTGGTGAGTGCCATGAGGACTTTTTGCTGGCTGTTTTAGAGACTTCTCAAAAGCCGCTGACCGCAAAGACAAGGCGGAGAGCCGTGATCCATCCAACCTGAATGAAGGGCACATCACCATCGCTCATGAGATCAGAAAGATGCTGCTGGAGCATAGAAAAACAGATTCGACCTGGATCCAACAGGTAACTCGTCCTATCAAATAACTCGTCCTTAACCTCCTCTAGGCTGAGCTTAGGCTTAGTAGGGACTTAGTAGGTAAGAAAATTTTCATTCAAACCTGAGCGTACGCGCGTTTCGGCCGGTGGCCTTCATCAGCGCTCTCAGAGTTACATGAAAGAAACTACTCCTTATCTACTCCCATCTACCGTGCCCCACACTCAACCAAGAAACAAGAGATCCAGTGCGGCTCGTCATCGCGGCCCGCTAGCTGGCTGTACAACATTTACAATGTCATTCACACATGCAAGTTGGTGGGACGAATTTAATCCCATCAACTTACTGGGTTGGTGTATCCCCGTTTCTGAAACCTCGCTTTCACCAAGAGGTTACGTATCCTCTTTGGTAAACGCCAACACACTAACATTCGTGGGAGGGAAATTTGTTGCCGCGCGTGTTTTTTGAGAATTCTCAAAAAACCCCCCAGCCCCAAGTCCAAAGTCCTTGGACACCTTCTTACCTTGAGGGACTGGGGGACTTCCCTCACTTTGTGCTGTTGGCAGCTGCGAAGTAAAGCCGGTCGGTCTTGATGTGTAACGCTGTTGAAGATAGGCCTGAGGAAGTAATCAGGGTACCCTCTGGCCTTCAGCCTCTCAAAGAAGAGGACTTTCCTCTCCCAAAAGGTCTTGAACGATGAGTTCCGCAGGCAGTGACGTTTCAGCTCACTCGTGATGAATCCTCTCTTACACTCCTTCGACTGCTGTTCATGGTGAGTGCTGCTCCTGGTGAGTGCTGTTCCTGGTGAGTGCCACAACGACTTTTTGCAGGCTTCTCAAAAACCGCTGACCACAAGGACAAGGAGAAGAGCAGTGACCCCTCCAACCTGAATGGAGGCCACATCACAATCGCTCATGAGATCAGAAAAATGCTCCTGGTGAGTGCCATAACGACTTTTTGCAGGCTGTTTTAAAGACTTCTCAAAAGGCGTCGACTGCAAAGACAACCTGAACGAAGGCCACATCACCGTTGCTTATGAGATTAGAAAGACGCTGATGGTGAGTGCTGCTGCTGGTGAGTGATGCTGATGGTGAGTGCTGCTGCTAGTGAGTGCTGCTGCTGGTGAGTGCTGCTCCTGGTGAGTGCTGCTCCTGGTGAGTGCTGCTCCTGGTGAGTGCTGCTCCTGGTGAGTGCTGCTGCTGGTGAGTGCCAGTATAGGCGGTTTTGGAAAAGCCTCATTATCTGCGCATCCCTGAGACAAGGAGGAAAGCTGTGATTCATCGAACCTGAATGGAAGGGAAATTATTGTTGCTCAGAAAGAGGTTCTTGGTCTGTTCTCTAATCCAGGCGGCTTCTGCTATCCCTTGCTTGCTGTGGTTCCAATCCTTGTGTTTCTTTCTGCTTGCCGCAGCGCAGGTGTCTAGCAACACAGCGTACAACAGACTCTATGCCTTGATAGGACAAGTTTTGAGACATCTCAAAATTCACGTCTCAAGTCTTGTTGTGGTTCCAATCCCTGTGTTCTTTGTGCTTCATTTGCAGGTGTCGAGCAACACAGCATACAACAGACTCTATGCCTTGGTAGGACAGAGGCGACTCAATGAAGCCATGTGAGTATCACTGCCCAAAATAAACTTGATGCCTTCATAGCAGCGATACCTTCTCTCGCTTGAGGCACTCTCTGGTTCTCCCCTCCGCCCACCTTTCCCACCGCCTCTCCCCCAGCTCTCTCCCGCCTCTCACCACCATTGCACAGTCATTGCTGCAAGCAGATAAGCTTTCTTTTCCTTCCCTTCTTTTTTGGCATTCCCCTGGTCTCACCTCCACCCACCTCTCCCACCGCCTCTCCATCCCTCCACGCCACCTCGCTCCTCTCAACTCACTGTTGCAAGCAAATAAGTTCGTTCCTTTATTGCCGTCCCTCCTCTCCTTCCAGGCACTCCCTGGGTCTCTGTTCCGCGCACATCTCCCACCGCCTCTCCATCCCTCCACCTCGCTCCTCTCAACCCACTATTGCAAGCATATAACTTCCCTCTTTTGCCGTCCCTCCTGTGCAGGCACTCCCTGGGTCTCTGTTCAGCGCGCATCTCCCACCGCCTCTCCCTCCCCCTCTCTCCGCTTGACAACCGCCGCTGTGAGCCCGTGCAAGTGGGCTGGGAAGGCAATGCCAATGCCTCCGCATTCTGCCTTCCTCCCAAGTGCAGCAGCCATGAGTTGCCTCCGGTGGAAGGAGTGGAGGGGTTGCTTGTTGGCCGTGCTTATATCGATGCCAATGGCACCAAGGTGGGCGTGCTTATATTGTAATTTGTGTGTTAGGAGACTTATGTAATGGCTGCGAGAGGCATCTTTGTGGATTTTTGTATGCCTCAGATTGTACCCTCATGCCTTTGTTTTTCCCTTTTTGCTTTTTTTTGCACAGGGCACAATGGAACAAGGTCACTTTTTTTTTCTTCCATTTTTTTCTGCTTATGGAACGACCTTCCTTCGTACACCTTGTGTTTTTTGTGGTTCCCTTCTCATGACGTGATGATTGTCCTGCAATGAGTGTGATGCCCCCTGTGCTGCAATGATCGTCATGGTATGCCATGCATGACATGTTGGTGCATGGCATGGCATGCGATGTTGGTGATGGATTGGTATTGCATCTCACAGCATGATATGGCATGGGGTTGTATGACATGGCATGGCATGGCATGGCATGGCATGGCATCGCATGGCATGGCATGGCATGGCATGGCACGGCACGGCATGGCACGGCATGTTGGTGACTGGTATGGCAGGCGGGTCTGTACAGGTGGATGCACCGTTGGACTTCTCTTCCAAGAATCGCATGACTCTTGTTGACCTGCAGAACCTCCTCGTGCTGCTCATGCACCCAGACATACAGGTATACCATCATTATGCGCCCAGAGATACAGGTATACTGTACAGGTATACCATCATGTATTTGCCGGGGTTGATGAGGCGCCTCAGAACTCATGCGCCCAGACATACAGGTAAACCATCATATATTTTTCAGGGTTCATGAGGCGCCTCAAAACTCATGCGCCCAGACGTATAGGTATACCATGATGTATTTGCCAGGGTCTAGGAAGGACCCAGCTGCCACGGCTGCCAGCCAATCAGATTGGAGGAGGGTCACAGGCTGCGGCAGCTGCTGCTGCCGCCGCTGCCACCGCCGCTGTCGCCGCTGCTGCTGCTGCTGCTGTCGCTGCTGGTGCAGGAGGTCATGACTCATGAGGCAGTACCCACAAGAGAGAGAGGAAGATCTCCTCTCAGGAATCGCCTGCGGCAATCTTTATGTCGTGTGTGATTAGTCGATTTTTTAGTCGACTAAAAAATTGAGACAGTATTCACAAGAGGGAGAGGGGGATTTTCACTCGGAAATTGCCTGCAGCAAGCTTTATGCCTCCTCTCCTTTCACCCTTCCCACCACCTTCCCCCCCAATCACCCACCCAGCTGCCTGGCTGCCAGCGGATCCAAACGGGCAAGGGGCACAGGCTGCTGCTGCAGGAAGCCATGAGGCAGTACCCCCGGGAGGGAGGAGAGGATTTTCCTCGCTCCAACTGCCTGAGGCAAACTGCCTGAGGCAAACTGCCTGAGGGAATCTCGATGCGTCCTCTCCTTTCACTCACCCCACCACCTTCACCCTTCCCCCCTCATCACCCAGTTGCCTGGCTGCCACCCGATCCGAATGGGCGAGAGGCACAGGCTGCTGGTGCAGGAGGCCATGAGGCAGTACCCCCGAGAGTCTCGCAATCCCAGATATGCTGACAAGAAGTACACGGATGATTACCGCAAGGTGTGAAGCGGTGTGATGCGGTGTGATGGGGTGTGATGGGGTGTAGTGGGGTGCGACGAGATGTGGTGTGATGGGATTTGGTGGGGTATTCAGGGGTATAATGTGGTTTCATAGGGCATGATGAGGTTTTGGCCTGAGAAAACAGGGAAGTCTTATCAACCAATGGTATCAAAGAGGGACAATCCTACAGAGAAGCACAAGCAAGTATAGGATTTCCTTTCCTCCGGTAATTTTTTTTTCTGCCTGTGCTCATGCAGTTTTTTCTGCCCGGACTGTGCCGAGTGCGGCCAAAGGAAGCTCTGCGTGTCTACAACAAGATTGGGAGGGCGTTTGGCTTCACAATTGATAACGCGTGAGTCATGTCGTGTAATGCTCTTCACTTGTTTGCAATCCTCAAGAATCAATCATGTCCAGATGATAACAAAATTGTTTTGAGACATCTCAGAACAAATTTGCAATCCTCTAAAACCAATGACATCCATTTTTTTTGCCTGTCTACACTTTCTTGATTTATTATTTTGGGCTGAAATGGAGCCTTGAGTCGTTCTTGGGTTCATCCCCTCTTACTTTTCGGGAACCCCTAGAGCAGGATGTGTCAGTTTTGTAGCCTCCTTGAACAGGGGTGTCAAAAGTTGAACGGGGCCATCAAACCATATTTTTGCTGATTTTATATTCTCCCTCTTCCCTCCATACACGCTTCCTGTCCCTCTTCTGCCCAGCTGTATCATGCCAGACAGGAAAAGCTAATTATTCCTCTCTTGTTAACCCCTCTAATGGCGTGAGTGTATCAGTGGAACCGTAGTACATAACCCACCTTATGCACTACCCCGCTCCCTGTTTCCCTTCTTTCCCCCCTTCACCCCTCTTCCACAGCTTCAACCCTTCCCCCCCCTCACTCCTTTCTCTCCTCCCCACCCTCCCCCCCGGCCACCTCGTCCCCCTCCCCTCGTGGCTCCTTTTCAGCTATATCCTCGACATAGAGACAGGAAGGGAGTTCTTCCTCTCTCTTTCTCTCTACACCAATGCGAACGGCTGCCTGAACGACGATAAGTACGAGTATGACCTGGCACGTGACGTGGCAGCTGATGTGGCAGAGGCCATTGCTAGGGCTCTGTGGGGTGAGAACAACAGGACTCGAGACCAGGATGAGGTGGCAGCTAACACGGTTACTGATGCGTCTGATGATGCATCAGCTGATCTGGCAGCTGATGTGGCAGCTGATATATCAGCTGATGTTCCAGCTGACGTGGCAACTGATGTGGCAGCGGATGCTGCAGCTGATGCAGCACCTACTGCATCAAAGACAGATTCTTTGGAGAGGGAGCATCGTCCTCTCTCCCCAGCACCCATATCACCCAGAGTCTCAGATTCTTCGCAAGTTTCTAACGTGCCAGCCTCCTGTTGTTTTACACCGCCTCAGAAGAGTATTCCTGACCCTGCGGCTTGTCTGTCACCAAGTCCAGCCACTGATTCCTCTCAGGTTTCAGATGTGCCAGGCTCAACTGTCGAAGCACAGAGCCTCATGAGCAAGACCCCGCTCCCTGTGTACACGTTCTTTGTTAATGAATGATGGAGCTCGCTTATTCTAGCTATTGATTGCCAAGCACAGCACACCGTGCTTAGGGCATATTTCTCGAAGTTGCTTTGTAAAAGAATCGATAGCCACCATAGAGCAGTACGGTAAAATAGACCGTTCTTCATCGTACCAAACCTCAGCGATTCCACACTTTCGCGTACTTCTATGTGGGCATACTGTTAACGCAGCAGTGGGGAGTGAATGACTCTATATGAGCTAAGGGGCTATTTACGGTATAACTTTGTCAGAACTTCAGGAATGATTAATTACCTTTCGGTTTTTCCAAAACCTACCAATGTCAAAGTAGATGAGGGGTGGTTGGCCCGAGCCACGTGTACGGTTGCACGTGAACTGGAACCACCATGTCACGACTTAGATTTTGACAACCCCGCCAGCCCCTTCGCGCATCATTGTACCGGTAGTTCGTGAATTCAAAATTTCAAACCTGTGGAGGGACCCATGCCCGTGACGCCAATAAACTAGCTGTTGACAGCCCAGCCAGCATACAGGGTCGACAGAACAATTACCAGCCCTCCACGAGTGCGATTGTGCACTTCGCTGACCTCATCCTTAGTCGGACGCCCTTGTATCATCGCGCTTAGTCTGAGGCTTTATTTACCAGAGCCGGCCAATCCACCTCAAAGCAACACGTCAGCACTGCCCGGCGTCGAGGTAGCCCGCGTTTCTCTCCCGCGTCATGAGCTAGGTAGTAGTCTCAAGACAAAAGCCAGCGTCATTTCTTAGTTATCCACTAAGCGTGCTCGAAATACACGCAAAGGCAACTCAGCAGCTCGATCGCGCGAGACTGGCTTCGTCCGCAGCTGCGACGAACTCAAAGGCAGCGCGACTCCGTCAAACTCTAAGGTGGCTCATTTAATCGTATCTGATTCTCACCCCGTCAAACTCTACAGCGTCACTCGTTCAGCCGTCACACTCTCACACGTCACTCGCGCGACGCATTCCTATGCCCTTTCCGTCGCCTTATACTCGCCCCGCTCCACCCCCCCCCGTTCGCCCTCACTACCCCCCGTCGCCCTCAGTTCCTCTGCCGCCCGCAGTTTCCCCCCGTCGGCCGCAGATCCCCCTGTCGCCCAGGGTTCCCCACGCCTCCCGCGCAGTCCCCCCTGTCGCTAGCTGTTCCCCACGTCGCCCGCAAAACCTCCCGCCTTGACCGCAGTTCCCACGTCGTCCGCAGTTCCGCGCGGCGCCCGCCATTCCCTCCCGTAGCCCGCATTTTCCGCGTCGCTTGCAGTCCCCCCCATCGCCCGCACTGAAACCTCGTCGCCTGCAGTTCCCCGCGTCGCCCGCAGTTCCCCGCGTCGCCCTCAGTTCCCCGCGTCGCCCGCAGTTCCCCGCGTCGCCCGCAGCTCCTCCCGTTGCCACAACCAGCCAATCCATCTCAAACGTCATCGCTGCCATCGGCGTCGCGGTTCTAGCCGGCAGAGCGAGCAGGTGTCGTGTCCGCGCTACTAGCTGTACTAGCGCGCGGAGCGAGCGGGTGGCGCAGCGGAGGCCGCCATGTTCGCGCGCAAGGCGGTGGAGCTCGTGCAGGAGGTGGCGCGATGCGACGCCGACCAAATCCTGCCCTTCGATGTACGCCCTTGTAGCCCGCCGCTGCATGCGTCCGACGCGGGCGCGCTGTGTCCGCAGTGGTGGTGATGAAGCCTTCCGCATCACCCGCTCTTACATCGCGCTCCCTCGTACTTACGCCTCCCACTCTGCATCCTGTCCCCCACTCTCCCCTGTGTGCTGGCTGTCACGGTGGGGCAGGCGGACGGCGTGCAGCGAGTGCTGGAGGAGGCGCACGAGCATCACCAACACATGGTGCAAATCCTGCTGTGAGCATCACCAACACATGGTGCAAATCCTCCTGTGAGCATCACCAACACATGGTGCAAATCCTGCTGTGAGCATCACCAACACATGGTGCAAATCCTCCTGTGAGCATCACCAACACATGGTGCAAATCCTGCTGTGAGCATCACCAACACATGGTGCAAATCCTGCTGTGAGCATCACCAACACATGGTGCAAATCCTGCTGTGAGCATCACCAACACATGGTGCAAATCCTGCTGTGAGCATCACCAACACATGGTGCAAATCCTGCTGTGAGCATCACCAACACATGGTGCAAATCCTGCTGTGAGCATCACCAACACATGGTGCAAATCCTGCTGTGAGCATCACCAACACATGGTGCAAATCCTGCTGTGAGCATCACCAACACATGGTGCAAATCCTGCTGTGAGCATCACCAACACATGGTGCAAATCCTGCTGTGAGCATCACCAACACATGGTGCAAATCCTGCTGTGAGCATCACCAACACATGGTGCAAATCCTCCTGTGAGCATCACCAACACATGGTGCAAATCCTGCTGTGAGCATCACCAACACATGGTGCAAATCCTGCTGTGAGCATCACCAACACATGGTGCAAATCCTGCTGTGAGCATCACCAACACATGGTGCAAATCCTGCTGTGAGCATCACCAACACATGGTGCAAATCCTCCTGTGAGCATCACCAACACATGGTGCAAATCCTGCTGTGAGCATCACCAACACATGGTGCAAATCCTGCTGTGAGCATCACCAACACATGGTGCAAATCCTCCTGTGAGCATCACCAACACATGGTGCAAATCCTCCTGTGAGCATCACCAACACATGGTGCAAATCCTCCTGTGAGCATCACCAACACATGGTGCAAATCCTCCTGTGAGCATCACCAACACATGGTGCAAATCCTCCTGTGAGCATCACCAACACATGGTGCAAATCCTGCTGTGAGCATCACCAACACATGGTGCAAATCCTCCTGTGAGCATCACCAACACATGGTGCAAATCCTCCTGTGAGCATCACCAACACATGGTGCAAATCCTCCTGTGAGCATCACCAACACATGGTGCAAATCCTCCTGTGAGCATCACCAACACATGGTGCAAATCCTCCTGTGAGCATCACCAACACATGGTGCAAATCCTCCTGTGAGCATCACCAACACATGGTGCAAATCCTCCTGTGAGCATCACCAACACATGGTGCAAATCCTCCTGTGAGCATCACCAACACATGGTGCAAATCCTCCTGTGAGCATCACCAACACATGGTGCAAATCCTCCTGTGAGCATCACCAACACATGGTGCAAATCCTGCTGTGAGCATCACCAACACATGGTGCAAATCCTCCTGTGAGCATCACCAACACATGGTGCAAATCCTGCTGTGAGCATCACCAACACATGGTGCAAATCCTGCTGTGAGCATCACCAACACATGGTGCAAATCCTGCTGTGAGCATCACCAACACATGGTGCAAATCCTGCTGTGAGCATCACCAACACATGGTGCAAATCCTGCTGTGAGCATCACCAACACATGGTGCAAATCCTGCTGTGAGCATCACCAACACATGGTGCAAATCCTGCTGTGAGCATCACCAACACATGGTGCAAATCCTGCTGTGAGCATCACCAACACATGGTGCAAATCCTGCTGTGAGCATCACCAACACATGGTGCAAATCCTGCTGTGAGCATCACCAACACATGGTGCAAATCCTGCTGTGAGCATCACCAACACATGGTGCAAATCCTCCTGTGAGCATCACCAACACATGGTGCAAATCCTGCTGTGAGCATCACCAACACATGGTGCAAATCCTGCTGTGAGCATCACCAACACATGGTGCAAATCCTGCTGTGAGCATCACCAACACATGGTGCAAATCCTGCTGTGAGCATCACCAACACATGGTGCAAATCCTCCTGTGAGCATCACCAACACATGGTGCAAATCCTGCTGTGAGCATCACCAACACATGGTGCAAATCCTGCTGTGAGCATCACCAACACATGGTGCAAATCCTCCTGTGAGCATCACCAACACATGGTGCAAATCCTCCTGTGAGCATCACCAACACATGGTGCAAATCCTCCTGTGAGCATCACCAACACATGGTGCAAATCCTCCTGTGAGCATCACCAACACATGGTGCAAATCCTCCTGTGAGCATCACCAACACATGGTGCAAATCCTCCTGTGAGCATCACCAACACATGGTGCAAATCCTCCTGTGAGCATCACCAACACATGGTGCAAATCCTCCTGTGAGCATCACCAACACATGGTGCAAATCCTCCTGTGAGCATCACCAACACATGGTGCAAATCCTCCTGTGAGCATCACCAACACATGGTGCAAATCCTCCTGTGAGCATCACCAACACATGGTGCAAATCCTCCTGTGAGCATCACCAACACATGGTGCAAATCCTCCTGTGAGCATCACCAACACATGGTGCAAATCCTCCTGTGAGCATCACCAACACATGGTGCAAATCCTCCTGTGAGCATCACCAACACATGGTGCAAATCCTCCTGTGAGCATCACCAACACATGGTGCAAATCCTCCTGTGAGCATCACCAACACATGGTGCAAATCCTCCTGTGAGCATCACCAACACATGGTGCAAATCCTCCTGTGAGCATCACCAACACATGGTGCAAATCCTCCTGTGAGCATCACCAACACATGGTGCAAATCCTCCTGTGAGCATCACCAACACATGGTGCAAATCCTCCTGTGAGCATCACCAACACATGGTGCAAATCCTCCTGTGAGCATCACCAACACATGGTGCAAATCCTCCTGTGAGCATCACCAACACATGGTGCAAATCCTCCTGTGAGCATCACCAACACATGGTGCAAATCCTCCTGTGAGCATCACCAACACATGGTGCAAATCCTGCTGTGAGCATCACCAACACATGGTGCAAATCCTCCTGTGAGCATCACCAACACATGGTGCAAATCCTGCTGTGAGCATCACCAACACATGGTGCAAATCCTGCTGTGAGCATCACCAACACATGGTGCAAATCCTCCTGTGAGCATCACCAACACATGGTGCAAATCCTGCTGTGAGCATCACCAACACATGGTGCAAATCCTCCTGTGAGCATCACCAACACATGGTGCAAAT